CTCATCCAAGAGGCTTCGTCAGTCTGAGGCCTAGCCATCTGGTATTACCCAGAAGCCACCCTGACTCTTGTGTTTCAAGCCTGCCTCAGATACCCCTGAAGTCTGGCCTTTTCACTAATGGTTTCAAAATGACCTGACTGAACATGGTATGGATATCTCATTCAGGTTTTGTGTGTTTCAGGCTGACGATCCAGTGCCGCTACCCGACGAACGAGATGAGTACTTCTGCTGTCCAACATCGTCCGCCTGAACCTTTCAGCCGTCGGAGTCAAACCAACACCTAATGAAGCTGCTAACAAAAGTGTGTTTGTGTGAAACTCTGATTTATTCAAAATATTAAAATACTGATGGTTTTTTTATTTGTGGTTCCTCTTATTAAAAAAAACTCATTCAGTTTGTGTTGATGAAGAGTGAGAAGTCTTGATTTAAAAAAAGGCTGCTCTGAAAATGTCTTATTTTTTTACGAGTTTGTAGTTTAGTTTAATTTTATGCATCACAGTTTTTGTGCTCATAAACGTTAGGCTTTTTAAATTCAAGTCAGCATTAAAGGGAGGCACTCTCCCCCAAATATAACACTGCTCCTAAAATCTTCATTTATAGTCTCGCTCTTCTGTTAATGATCTAAAACACCAAAAAACATGTTCTAAACAATGATTTTTATTCGCTTGTAGCCTTCTTTCTTCTTCAAACTAGTAGTTTAGTTTTGTCTTCTGACATCATTGCTGCTCATATTCCAAGTTCAAAAAACTTATTTAATAATATTAATAACATTATTTGAAATTAGTGAAGTGGAACAACAGTCGGACTCAGCAATTCAGTGTAAATGTTGGAATAATGTGCCGTATAACATTCTCACACATGCAGACCAATATGACTGTTTACAGAATGTTTTTACAAATTATCCATCTGTTAAACTATTAATAACTTTGTGCTGGTACTGTGCACAAAACCTGAGTTATGTTTAATACAATTTTAGTGAATAATATTTTAAAGTTCAATTTTCAGCCTTTATTTTCAGTGTCTTCAGTGTAAATAAGTTTTTTTTTTTTTTTATCACATATCTGATGTTCCACTCAAATATTTCTATGTTCTGTAAATAAAATACTTATTTTATCATTTTGCCTACTTTGTAAACTTGTTTATCCTACCATGGTGTAAATAAAGAGATTGTACCTCGTTGGTGTGTGTTTTATATAATCAATTTATTGTTGGATATAAAAGTATGCTGATAAAAGTTGAAAGTTTCAGGTCGGTTAAAGCTGTAGTTCTCTAATCTGGTCCTCGGATCTCCAGGGGGTCTACGAGCCGGTTATTGGGGGTCTGCTTTTACAAGCAAGGAGATGCTTAACAACCTGTTAAAATACAGTAAAATGTTGAGAATTGCATCTACTTTATTCAAAATTTTCTGGGGGAGGATCCCCGCCGCCTGTTATTTGCATTCTGGCATCGATCGGTTTACAAATGAAGCCTTGTAACCATGACTACTGCTGTTACGATTCTGTTCAGTTTATGTAAAGAGTTTTCTGTAATAATTTGAAGTAGCAATACATTTACTATGTTCGTTAAGTGAATAGGTAAAGTTTTTAAATGGCTTTTGATACTGTTAATGTTCTCAAAACCAATTTTTGGAAGTTGAATTTAAAAAGTTTTTGTCTTGAATGAAAAACACTCCATGTTTAAAAGTATAAAACTTGTGTTAACAGTATTAAAAAATAGGTCTTATGTTACACAAATATTTCCATTGCATTAAAGTTACAAACTGAAGAAAACTATTTAATAAACATGAAGGTTATGAGGGGGTCCCTGAACCCAAAGAGTTGGAGAACCCCTGACTTAAAGAATAATTTAAATGTAAAAGTATTTTCTTATCTCCTTGACCTTTAAAGTGAGATAAAACAATGTTTAATTAAACACTGAGTGGAAACATGACACGTCAAAGCACAGGGACTTAAATTCCATTCAACCTTTATTTAGACAGTTTAATCCCATTGAGCCTCAGGGACTCATTTACAAGAGAGACCTGATTTTAGCAGAGTGATGAAAACGGTGGAGCAACAAAAACAATAAAGGATTGAGAATTTTATTTTTTGCTCCCTATGTTTAACCTGTTTAAGTTTTGATCCTTGGTATCGACCCAGTTGACTCAAATACGCCCTGAGATGACCTCTGTTGTGACTTGGCGCTATATAAATACACTGAATTGAAATCCGTGGTCCTAAAGGCCAACAGTCCTGCATGTTTCAGATCTTTTTCTAAACTGGCCTAATTAAAATAAATGGTTTGATTGTTGGGTACTAAAGGCCAGGGTTAGAGAACTTTATCATTTCTTCTTCTTCTTAATGGAGTTTTATGGCGGTTGGCAAACAACGGAAGGTGTGCATTACCGCCACCTACTGGTATGGAGTGTGGAAACTTTGTCATATTCTAGCACATGTGCACCCTTAAGCCTTGAGGACTTGATTACTAATTGGTTGCACCTTTGGGTGTGGTTCCTGGTTGGTTGCTAGTTTGAGAAACAGTCTACTAAAAGCTAGGTAGGCCGAGCTTTATGGTGCTGGTTTGGTGAGCATCAAGTGGTTCACTTGTGCTTGTGTTGGTCAGTTGGTGTAGTTTGCTAGCAGCTGGCTAGCTTTAGACACTGCCAACACATAAGCCATTATGACTTTGAAGCTATTGTTTGAGTAAGTTGTTCTGCTGGTCTCTTCAAAGTCGGGATATGTGCACCACACTATTTAACCCTTTCTGTGTTTCAGTGTGGCTTTGCTCCTGTCTTCATGGTCGATTGCAGGATGCGACTTTAATATGGAAGGTTGGTCAGTGTTCAACTTGTTTTAACTAGATTGGTAACAAAAATTTAACCTAAATCTTGTTCACGCAGGAGTTCTACAAATGGAGTGTCATGAGCGTCATGTCATGATAGCTTTGGACCTCTCGGCCACTGGAACTGATCCTCATTTTGAGGCTGTTGGTGAGTCTTGATTACCTCAGTGATTGAACCACCGTTTTTAAAGTAGCTCCTGAAATGCTGAGCTGTGTTGGTTTTCTTGCAGATGGAACAGGTGTTTATCCCATCACGGACGAATATGCTTCAAAGTGTGGTTACAGTGTCAGCATTCTCCCTTTCTTGGGCCTTGCGGAGCTTAGAGCATCTTACTTTAGTTGTAACACTGAGAGCAAAGTATGTAAAGGATAAACTTGATCAGCCTTGTGTAGACCCATGATTTCTGATTATATGGTCTTATCTGGTAGGATGATGTCTTCACTTTCAAATTCAACCTGGTCACGAACCACAATGCGGTGGAGGCGTTCTATGCACTGAACAAGACTTGTTCTCCTCCTTCACCTTGGTCTCCTAGAGAGGTTACCTGTGAGGTCAACTACATGGAAGTAAGTCTTGAGTGGGGAATTTGTGTTTTACCTATACCTGTATCTTAACGGTGGTCTCTGCAGGTGTCTGTGAGGACTGAATTCCCCTGCCCTTCTGGAACAAACGAATGGGACTCTCTAAAACTTGTATGTCGATGTTTGCAAGACTCTCTGATTTTTTTTTTTTTTTTTGGGAAGTTCATCACTAAAGCTTAAACTTTTCAGGCTAGCAGTACCTCAGACTGGCAAGTGGCATTTCAAAGACCAGAGGAGCAGCTGTCACCTATGAACCTCACCCAGGCTCGTAAGCTGGGCTATGTGTTTGACCTACTGTTGGACCGGATTGTGTTTCGAACGCCATATGGTCAACATGAGTCCTACAACACAAAGGTAAACTAGGCTTAATTGTTTACAAATTGTTGCTTTAATTCTAGGTTTAATTGTCATTCTGTGCAGGTGAACGGCATTCCAGTGGAGGTGGTCCATGCAGCTGTGTTCTCCAGGAAAAGTTGGATTGTCCTCATGGTTGACCTGGTTGCTGCCTGCTCAACGCGTAAGTAATGTGGTTGTTGGGGAAACCTTGATGTGCGAGTGTATATATTTCATATGAACCGTCTCATCTGAACAGATGAAGGATCATACAACAGTGGGTACATGTTTTGGAGCACTCCAGAGGCGTTGTATGCCAGTTACAACAGATCACAACTCAGTGTTGGCCTTAATGGTGAACTTATGGAGCCAGAAACTGCAGCGCAGAAGGGCTTTATAATGGAAATGCTCAATTCCACAATCAAAATTGGCATTCCTTATAATGCTGACGGGGGCTTTAGGAAGGTAAGATCACTACTTGTGAAGTCCTTCTGTGAACAAACAAGTATTTGAACAGCTGTAAACTTTTGTTTCAGACCTTTGTGAGCAATGGCATCTTTGAGTTCTACATATTCTACCTGCACATGAAGCAAACTCTTGTGGATGAACGTTCTGAAGAGACCACACTCAGATTTCACAGGACCCTAATTTCTCCCCTTCTGCCCTGCACGCTTGTCACTGAAGACCGAACCATCAAGGCTGAGGGCATGTTCACAATCTACCTTGAAGTCCCCAGAGATGTTCAGCTGACATCTGTCCAACTGAATGGGCAAGGATTTAAAGTGCCATTTGGCAACAACACTCCTTTCATTCTGGCAGAAGCTCATTTGAACAAAACTCAAAGCTTCACTTTAAAAGTGCCACTACATGATCCAGTTGTGATACAGCAGGTATTGGTTTCATACAGAGTAACGGTGCACAGTACCTCCATGGCAGGTGGGTTTAGGTTCTAATCAAATGTCTTCTGCCTTAGTTCTCGGAACAGAACGCAGCCATGTTTCACAAACTGGATGTGAACTACACACTGACTGCTGTACCAGAGAATGAACCGTACTACCACACCGTATCGGTCAAGGTCTTGATGGATGTCTGTAAGTCTTGACTTTGACGTGAAGTTGTTCTGATTTTATGAGTTGGATCACTAACGTATGTGTTCTGACAGCTCCTCCATCGTTTAACTCTGTGTGTAATGCATCTGGAATCAGCTTTGAGCTGGCCCATCGGTCTTACGACTACCTGTGGGACATCAGTATTGGCCCAGACCAGCTGACACTGGAGCTGGCAGCCAAGCGTGGCTACATCATAAGCAATTCTAGCAACAGCCTGCTGGTTTTTGTGCCACTTTTCGCTAAAGGATTTGAATACAAGGTGAGAACTGGTATTGGGGGAGGGCGGGGGGGTGTTTAATGGTTTCCTGTTGTGCATATTTACTTTTTTATTGTTTTTTTTTTTTTTTTTTTTTTAGAATATTGGTCTAAAAAAATTCCTCGGTACATTTGAGATCCTTGTGAAATCTCGTGACAAACCAAATATCTTGACTTCAACAGTGAAGACTTGTCAGTTCAACTCAACGGAACTCATTAGTAAGAATGTTTTGTTTACTTGAAGTATATGTGGGAAGGGGGTACATTGCACATGCTAAAGACATCTCTCTGCAGTCTGTTCTACTAACGGTTGGATGACTGTGGTGACCGACCTTTTCCGAGTCCTCCCAAATGGTCAAATCCCAACAGGAACTCATCTCTCAAATAACCTCTGTGTGGCCAAGGAAATGGATGGCACCAAAGTGCTCTACTCGTTTCCACTGAATAGCTGTGGATCTGTAGTCAAGGTAAGAATCTTTATGACCAGTGAACATTGTCTAGCCTCACAATGATGTCCATCTTGTCTTTCAGCTGTCAAGGGGGAATGTGGTTTATCAAAACCAGATTTTCTACTATTTTGGCAACTCTAGTTCCACCGAAGGGTATGCAACCACCTTTTAGTTAAATGTTCTTGTTTGCTATTTAGCCCACTACAATGACATTTTATCTCCTAGGCTTACTATGCAGTGTACGTACCCTTTGACTAGTCTCTACAGCCTCTTCTCGACGTACAGATTTGATTCCGATAAAGAGGGTGTTGGCAGCATTATCTATCCCTTGGACAACACAAAAGGTACAATGGCTTGGTGTCTGGATGACTATCAAACATGAGACATGTGTATTAATATTTCATGTCTCTTTAGTTTTCCCAAGTACCACTGTGCCACCTGCTGAAACTCGGACCACAACTGCTTCCCATAGAACCAGAAGCCCCAACTTGTACATGCCCTCCTTCTACCCGACCGCTCGCTACATAAGGGTTTATAGGACCCATAACCTACTGGGTTCCTACAAAGGTTGACCGAAAATGACTTCAACTTTTTTTTTTATTTATTTATCAAACATAAAATTTAACTCGTCTATTTTCTTTCTATTTGCAGCCCCTCCAGAGAGTGTGAAAGTACTGGAATATGTGTAACTCTGGAAAATTGTAGAGTTGTATTAACGCCCAATAAAGTTGTTAAACCTACTGCAGATAGTTTCTGGTGTGTGTGGTTTTTTTTTTTTTTCTATTTTGTTTTTTTTTAATACAGGCTCTTCATTTAGACCTGAACTCCTTTACAAAAAGAGACTTGTTCTATACGGCATATAAAGTACAATGACCAACTATATAGTAAAAATGCAGTTAAGTGTAAAATATAAAAATGCTCTAAGATGGGAGTGAAATACTAAAAACAAGAACACATTTGCTTTGATTTTTCTATTGACATCAAATGTTTGAAACTCTTAAGAAATCAAAAGTGGACTACTTCAGTTCCTGTTGCAAGGTGTTCCAAGTTGCAGAACAGGAAACTCGATTACAGAAACCATTAATGATGCACAGAAAGCACCTTTATTTTATACTTTGTTCTGAAACTTCTTGTCCAACAGTTGAATGGTTTATTTCATAACGTGATTCTCGACCTGCCATTATCTATCGTTTCTCCTTCCTGTTCCCCTCAAAACCAATCGGTCGAAGCAGATGGCCACTTGTCCTGTGCTCGGTTCTGCTAAAGCAGGCGTCTGCAACCTTTATGATCAAGAGCCATTTCTATCCCTTTGTTCGCTACATTAAATGTGTCCGGAGCCATAATACCTGCTACAACTGGGATTCTCAACTGGTGGCCCACAAACCACTTTAAGTTTGTTGGAGGGTGCTTTTCTGGACAGTAGGGGTGATTTTATAAAACTAAAAATATCTTTTTTTTTTTTTTTTTTTTTTTTTTTTTACATCTATTTATATTTTTACATTCTGACAAAATAAAAGACAAGTTTCTTGTAAAGAAGGAAAACCTATTTTTACCCAGTTTGTAAAAACTAAACTGTCTTGTGATTTTTTTTTTTTATTGTAAAATTACATATCCTACTTTGAAGAAATAAAGTGTAATGTGAAAGTATGTTTTACTCCCTGTAATGTTTCTAGTATTCATATATTTGCTAAATAAATGACAGGAAAACTGCTAAAACTAGCCCTTTTAGTTGTTACAACCAATAAAATTCAGCTGTATGTCAGTTTTGGTCAAAGCTTGAAAGAGCCGCTGCAGAGGGACCAAAGAGCCGCATGTGGCTCCAGAGCCGCAGGTTGCAGACCCCTAAGGTTTCTTCCTCATGAGGGAGTTTTTCCTTTCCACTGTCGCCTTCGTGCTTGCTCAAGATGAGTCTGTGATGGAGTTAAATTTAAAGCAGTCTGCTCCTCAGATAAATAGTGTTTAAAATAAATAAAAATTATTGTTCAGTGCTCTGAGCTGACTTCTGTTGTGACTTGGTGTCATATACTATAAACTGAACTGAGGTTTATAGTTCTATAAATCTCCAGCTTCTCAAGAAAAGTGCCAGCTAACTACTAGTTTTTTTTTAGATGAAAGATGGGTTTGAAGGAAAATATTTACAGGGAAGTAAAATAATCGACTATTAAATATTTTGCGTTAAAACTCCACTGCAAGGCGAGCACGTGCTTTTGGAACGGACGTGTTCCGCGCTTGCGCCGCCAGATGTCGCTGTTTTCACTCTGAGTTCTAACCTTGTTTACGTTTGACTCTTAAAATTCAAAAATCCACGTGAAAACGCCTGAAAGCTTCTTCAAACACTTTCAAGCTACAAAACTTAACAAACCATGAGCCACAGCGAAGAACCCTCTTGGGTAAGTTGCTTTTTGTTGTAACTTTGACTCATGCAGCTCCTGTTTGATGGTTTCAACCCGCACTTTGCTCAGAGACAGAGCGTCCTCCTTCCAGTCTCCTTCAGGACTCTGCAGCACCCCTCCTTCCTGCCTCTCTACATCCTACACCCAGCAGGTTTCCATCGTCAGACTCACCACACAGGTGAGTCTCTACATGCATCCTTGATCACTTCTGCAACATGTGTGACTGGTTTGTTTTCTCCTCAGTGCACCCCATCATCCCTGAAGAGCTCTTCTACTCTGACCCCACCATGAGCTGTGGGATGAGGATCTGGAATATTCAGACCAGGGTAAGTCATGAAACTGAACAGAGGACCTCAGAATTACATAGAGTAAGTAAGGCATTTATTTCAGTGCTACTTTAAAGGTATAACAATTGTTTCATGACAGTTTTTGCATCAATGTTCTTGTATTTGTGGTTTTGTATGGAGCCCATCGGGTGTAGCTCAATACAAAAAGAGAGGTTGCAAAAAACCTGTTTAGTTCGTCCGCGTGCACAGGTCTGTTTGAAAAACAGATCGTCATATTAGACGTCTCCGTCCTTCCCAGGCGATGAGAAATCTAAAAATCAGATATAAACCATTCTGCACACTGATCCAAAACCTCTGCTCATGTTTTGAACCTGGTGTGCTTTTATTTTGAAGGGGAGTAGACTCTGTGCTGCAGCCAGGAGTGCTGGTAGTGGAGTTTGTGAGGGATTTAGAAGTTGCTGCTGTCAGCACACAGTAAGAATACAAAGACTGATACAGAACATAGTTTTTTAACAAGATGTGGACCTTTAAGTGTTTTATTTACTGAAGTTAGTAGCAAGGAAGTGGGGCTTTTTTTTTGGAGGGGGTGGAAGGGTGGTTGCTCACTCTCACAATATATTGTTTGGGTTCAGCAACGTAGACACGTTGAGTTAATTTTTACTTCCAGAATAATTTCTGATTGAGCCATCAAACCTGTAAAAGGGGTCAGTCTTATCCAAAGCAGGTGAAACTCCAAACAGAACGAGCAGCTCCTGTTAACAAATCTGCACGAAGATAAACTTGCTCCATAATTATACAAACTGGCACGTCTCATTTAACCGTTAGGAGACGTGTTGGCTTCGTAAATATCTCATGTGATTTAAACGAAAACAGACGATTCTGAACATTTTGAATGTTGGAATTTGTAGATGGTTGGTTGTAAATATGTACAGATTGAGTTGACTCTGTGTGAATGTTTCTGGAGCTTTCACACTGTTGTGATCCATTTTCCTTCTGTCCGTTTTTCAGCATCTTTCTCGTTCCATCATTTTTGCACTATTTCAGCAAATCATAAATCAAAACGTTCAGCTGTTTCAGGATAATCCTGCTATGACTTTTGATATGGGTGCAACTTTAGCTTTTTGAAATATTTTAGCCTTTTCTGACACTTTTTTCATAAAATGAATTGAGCTCATTTTACCTCCTTCAAATCTTTAGATCTGTTTAAAACCTTTTACTGCTCCTTTCACATTTTGTTCTGTTCAGCTTCCTTGTGCAAATTTAAACTTTTTTTAGCTACTTTCAGCTGTTTTGTGCTCCTTTCAGATTCTTTCTGCTAACTACATTTTTGTGCTTCTTCTACTTATTTCTGCTAATTTCAGCTTATTATGCTCCTATCCGTTTTTTTATGTTATTTCAGCTACTATTTACCTTTTTTTTGTTGCTCATTTAAGCTTTTTCAGCTAATTCCACTTTTTTTGCACTCATTTCAACTTTTTTCAGCTAAATCTGCAAAATGTGCTCTCTACACTTCCTTCTTGTACTGTAATTTAACTTTTTCTGCCTTTTTAGCTACTTTTCAGCTGGTTTTGCTCATTTAAGCTTTTATCAGATCATTTCCTCCTCTTTGTGCTCATTTCTGCTTCTTTCAGCCTAATTGAGCAAACGTTCTTTCTGCTTTCTTCTACTAATTTAAGCTTGTTCTACCTTTTCAGTTAACCTTTCTTACCTAATTTCAGATAAACTCAAGTTTTTTGTGGTAATTTCTGCTACTTTCAACATTTTTTTCCTGCTAGTTTCAGCCTTTTCTGCTAATTCTAGAATTGCGCCGCTCAAGGTGGCTGCATGTTGGAGCAGCTCTGTTACTTTCATTCTGAGATTTTGCTTTTGGAAACTTTAATTCCTCTTTTTCTGGATGTAAATCACATTTTTTTGGATGATTGTTTTCTCTGGTATCAGACGCTGTGCAGCTGGAAGGATTTTTACTGAAACTTTTTTTAAGTTTTGGACATTTGTTATGATGCGTAACCATGGCAACAAGGCAGTTTTCTACAACAACAGCAGCTGATTAACATCTCAAAAGCTCAAATAATATCTCAACTATGGCCCCAACTCTCAAATGAGTTGAAAAGGATGTTCTATGGACGCATTCTCATCTACCTGTCAGCTGTGCTCGAGGGCCTGACCACTGAGATCCTGGAACTAGCAGGAAACATGGATCATGACAGCGAAAGGACAGGATCGTCCCTCAGCACCTACAGTTGGCTGTCCGCAGCTATGAGGAGCTCGGCAGACTACTGGGAGGAGTGGCCATCGCTCTGGGAGGAGTTCTGCCCAGCATTCAAGCGGTCCTACAGTCCAGGGGAACCAAGAGGCCAGCCGAGTCTGGGTGGACGGATCGGACGGCATCTGCAGCCAGTTTCTTAGGATCCACTGTGAGATGGACCTTTACAAGAGATCCTTCCTGCCTACAGCCATCAGCATCTATAACATCTCTTAATGAAATGAGGATCACGAGTTACAACAACAAATAATTTCCCTCTGGGATTAATAAAGTATTTTTGAATTTGAATTGAATTGTATTTCAGCTACTATTTAGCTATCTTATGCTAATTTGAGCTTTTTCAGCTAATTCCACTTTTTTTTTTTAGCTCATTTCAACTCTTTTCACTTCCTTGTGGTAGTTTAAGCTTCTTTCTGCTTTTTAAGATAATTTTCAGCTATTTTTTTGCTAAATTTAGCCTTTTTTTTTTAGCTAATGTCGTAAATTTTGTGCTCCTTTCTGCCTATTTAAACCTAATTGAGCAAATATGTTTTTTCTGCTTTCTTCTGCCATGATTTCCGCTACATTTCAGCATGTTTATTTTAGCTAATTTAAGCTGTTTTTCAGCAAGTTCTTCTGCAATAAACATTCACGCTACATTTTCTCTAGTTTTGCACTTGAGCTTCTCTGAAAATCCATGAAGCTCTTCTAGTTAACTTTTTAAAAAAAGCAACATTTCATTGATTTTATTATTTTGTACCGAACTGTAGCAAATACCTTTATGTTTCGACACAAACTAACTCTGCTCTTTACATGGTTGTATTTTTGTAATTTTGTAGGACTTTATTAATTAACACAGTGGATTCTCTGTTTGTTCCTCTTTTTATAAACTTATAATCCAGTTTCACATATTGTGAAAATATAGATTTATATTCAGTTTACTGGTCTTACTGTGATCAGTTTTTTTTTCCTGGTTGTTTTGTGAGTAAAGGTTTTCTTTAAACAGATAATTTAATAAAACTGGCAGAAGATCCTTCAGATAAGAACACTTAGCAGCACTTTAAATATAATATAATACAGATTATATTCTTTAAAGAGTGTTTAATGCATAAACATGTTTTATAGATTCATTATAAGTGAAACACAATTAAACTATGTTGTAAAATCAACTCGTTAGTTTTTCCACTCCCCTCACACCTAAATGTCTTTTCATCAGGTTTTCAGTCGCTCCCAGCTCAACGTGCCACAGCCCATCATGTCTGCCTGCGTGGCCCCTCCAAACCGTCCAGACCCGTTCAGATCTGGACCGCACCCCACCAGAGACCTGGGCTGCCCCACCTGGAGGATCCAGAGTGCACGCCCTCCGGCGCAGCCTCGACGGGCCGTCGTCCAGCTCACACAGGAGGAGGACCAGGCTGTCACCAACCTGCTGAAACTTCACTACCAGGAGGCCCCCGAGGGCAGCATCCCCCCCGCTCCACATCTGGACCTCTCAGGCCCTGCAGAGTCTGGACGTTCATCCCAGGAAGCCCACGAGGCCGTCGGCGTTGATGCGCAGCGATGGCAGTTTGAAGCAGCTCCTCTTCCGAGCGGCACCGCCCAGCAGGACGCCGACTCGGTCAGAGCTCCGAATAAAACGGTTCTTGATTGTCTGCTGTGCCGGAGCACCAAAACGTCCCCAAAATATGACACCGACAGCCGTGGCCACATCTGGTCCGTGCAGGACGAGCGTGAAAGCAACGCCGCCGCGCCCTGGGGGTCGTTAAATCCCAAGAAGAGGAGCAGACCGAAGGAGCAGCTGCTGACGGAGTCGGAGGAGGACGCCGTGTTCGTGCTCCTCAACCTCGCGGACGCAGTGACTTCAGGGAGTTTGCGGTGATTCTGTACAACCCGAGAATTTTCGGGGAGTTACTTATTTATTAAAGTAACTCGTACATGTTTTATGATTATTTTGAAATAGTTTTTAACTTTACTTGTGTGACTTTAAGACAAATATTCCTCTTTTGTTTGAAAGGTGTAAAACAGACAGTTTTTTCGCAGAAGGTTGTGCGAGTCAGTTTAATAAAAATGTTGAGCTTCCTGTACAAACATTTAGTCATTAAAAGTACAGTCACTAAGGTGTGGAGCAGAACTAATAAAAAAAAAAAATATCTAACATACTGTACATTTCCAGTGCAGTCACTGATCACAAGCTGCAGGGGGCGCTGCAGTTCTGCTCACGCGTCACCGACGAGCATTTTTCCTGCTTCGTCATGTGTAAATGAACTGAACCGAAGGCACTTGCTGATTGATTTAGAGCCGAGTGTTTTAAATGTTAATGCTGCTGAGGCGGCTGACCCCCTCGGTGAAGCCGAACTGGTTCCTGAGAATGACGAGAATGTCAACCTGTATGACAAACCATTAAAGCTGCAGTGTGTTTACAGTAACACTCGGTCATCTCCAACTATGTCCGGAATGATGGGAGCGTGCATTTTTTAACGCTTCGCTGACAGAAGCGATGCGTACACGCCGGGTACTTTCTCAGCATCCAGTGAAATATTAAATTACAGTTGTGGCTCTTTTAAAAGTCGCACGTCGTGCTTCAGGTGATGAGTTGGGTCTCAGCGGGTCTTGCTGAGCATGCTCGCAGCCTGAGAGACCCTGTAGCGCTCCAGGAGGTTCCTTCTCCTCACGTGTTCGTTGGTGATCTCGATGACGTTTGCTATAGGGAACCAACCCCTCTGACCGTCGGACAGGCGGCACCCTTCGTACCAACCTGGAAACAAACAACACAGGAGCAGGGGGGAGGAGGGCAAACGAGGGAAGATTGAGGGTTTGCGTCGTTCATGCAAGAAAGTAGGGCTGCACAATAATTCGATATCGATATACATCACGATATACTTTTATTCAATACCGGGGATATGAGTTTTAAGCACATTTTCGATATTTGGATAGGATTACAGCGTTTCACTGACACGTTTCTTTTTCTGCTCAGGTTGAAGCGGCAGTTTCAGTTTCAACCCGGACAGTAAAAGGTGCGACACAACTACGTAAGTGCGTGGTGACGCAGATGTTCCGCAGAGCTCGAGTCCAGAAGGAGTTAGCGGTAGCGGGATAGGCTAGGCTAATCTCTAACGCGTGTTAAGTTTTCGCTTCAAAATGAGCTCCCATGACCGTCAGAATGTGACTGAACAAGCTAATTCGGCGGTGTGGAAGTGGTTCGGCTATCTGAGAGCCGATAAACTGCAGGTTTCTGTGTGCTGCAAAAATGTGACGAGAGAGTCGTTCCAACAAGCGGTGGAAACACATCGAACTTTATAGAATGTGCTGAGAGTCAGAAGATGAAGCACAATAAAAGTTTGAGCCAACGTGCCCCTGAAACAACACCCCCAGCTGTATCAAAAGAGAAACCCATGCAGCAAACATCTACGTTAGGTTATGTTGTTTAAAGTTAAAACTATTAATATTGACAAAGTTGAGAGTTTTATGTTTATTTGGCGGTGATTTCAAATTTTTTTGAAGGCTAAATACAAATAAAAGGTGAACATTAATTTATTTGTACAGTTTTTCTGAGTTTTTTTTATTGTTCATATCGATATCGGAATTATATCGTTATCGACCGAAATTAAGAAATATATCGTGATAAAAGTTTTGGCCGTATCGTCCAGCCCAACAAGAAAGGCAAAAGGAAAATCAATAAACTGCTAAATTGGAGGGTCGAGGCGAGGAATTTAGACAAACGGAGTTGGGGACGTCAGCTACAGAGCTGAGGAAAGGGAAATGATTATGATCGTTTCTGCTCATTCTTACCCTCGTTGGTTTTGCGGATGACGTTGACGATCTCGGCGGGCTCCAGGCTGAGCTCGTCTGCTTGCTCTGCGACGTACTGCTCCACGCACTGCACCTGAGGACAGTCTGATGCAAACGCAACCTTCAGTGCAGATCGATACAAAACACGTTCAGGCTGTTCGCGCGGATCGAGTGCGTGTCTTTCTTACCGAAGTCCTCGTAAATCCTTTCCTCGTCGTCTTGGATGCTGGGATCTGGAAAAGCTGCCAACCATCTGTGCATGTCGGACCTGTTGATAGAAACAAGCTTTGACTCCAGCCTGAAATATATTTTTGACATGATGAAAACTTTATTCTGAATCGGTGTGGGAACATTTCATGTTGCAGTTAGGCCAGTCACGATAACAAATTTTGCTGAGCGATTAATTGTTTCAGAAATTATTGTGATAAACGATAATATTGTTTGAAATTTGACAATAATTAGTAATTACTGTCGAATTTAAGAAGAAATGTTGGTTAATTTTTGTATGTAGTACCTTTTTTGCCCACTGAATGGTAGAGTAAGACTGAACCGAAGGATGGATAGTGAGGGAGCGAGCAGCATGTCTCTTTAAGATGTGTCACGTGACATGGGCTGTCTCTTCGGTTCTCGAAATGGCAGACGCTCGGTGTGGTGGAGCTCTTTAGCATAGCATTTTTCACACAAAGCTTTTAACAAAAAATCAGTAAACAAGTTCTCAGCTTCTTTTTGCCGAGAAAAAAACTTTTTGGACGAAGGCACGGGTTTCAACCATGAATTTTGGAGCTTCGACAAGACGGAGGTTTTTTTCCCCAAGGTTGGCCTGTTAGCTTAGCTTCTCATTTTAGCTGCTTTTAACGATCCAAAAACGCAATTTTGGATAGTTTAAACAAATTTTTAAAAGAAAAGAGAAAGGGAGGGTCAGTTAAGAGCACCGGAGTTGAGCCTTTTGTTATCCAGTGTTCAGTGGAAAGAGAAGAGAGACACGAAGAAACGATAAAGTCGATAAACGAAAATAAAGTAGATAATTTTCATTTATCATGCGATTGATTTATTGTTTATCGCGACAGGCCTAGTTGCAGTAACTGGTTATGCTGACTGAATTAGAGCAGACTGGGTCTGTGCCATGACGGCCCAACAACCTGTCCAACAAGTACTCGATCTTTTTCCCAATGACTGCTGGAGATGGGCACCGGCTCCCTGCGACACTGAACAGAAGAATCTGTAAGAGTGAAACAGAGGGTCCAATTCATTCAGTCCGCAATGTCGATGTGAAATGGACTCCTTATGTCTCTGATCCTTTTTGGGTTGTTCATGAACAGGATCTCAAGACGCAGTCAAAGAAAGGAGGGTCTCTGGTTTGGCAACCTCGGGGCCTCCTTCCTGCTCTTCAAATGCAAAAATCACGAGTGATGTCAGGATGGAGCAGGAAATGGACTGACAGACAGGGACCTCATCCTCAGTAATGACAGTGTTGCTTTAGTCAGTCGCGGTGAAGAAAAAGTTGAGTCAAAAGGCAAATCTCTGGATTTACTGGTCAGTCTACGTTCTAACCCTGATCTGTGGCCACCAGGTTTGGATCATGACCGAAAGAATGAGATCCAGGATACAAATGGCTGAAGTGAGCTTCCTTCGTAGGGTGGCCAGGCTCAGCCTTGGAGAAAGGGTGAGGAGCTCCATGATCAAGGGGGAGCTCAGAAGAGCAGCTGCTCCTTCAAATCAAAAGGAGTCATTTGAGGTGGTTCAGGCTTCTGATGTGGACACCTCCCTTTGGAGGTTTTCTAGGCACGTTCCACTCCAAGGCAGACCCAGAACTCACTGGAAAGATGGTGTATCCTCTCAGGCTGGGGTCCCCCAGGAGGAGCTGGAGAGTGTCGCTGGGGAGAGGAATGTCTGGGTCTCTTCTGGACATGTTGCCTCTATGACCCGACTACAGATACGCGGTAGAAGATGGGGATGAAGAGTTCAAATATCAGTTTCAAGAATAAAGACAGGGTGGAGCAGGAACTGGACCGAAGAATTAAAGATTATAATGAGGGCATTGATTTGGATTGTGGAATAAAAGAATAAGAATCCAGATTCAAGATGCTGAAATGAGCTTCTAGAAGGTAAGAAATAAAAAGGGATCAGCTCAGGTGGTTTGGGCATCTGATTAGGACGCCTCATAGACACGTCCCTCTGGAGTTTCTCCAGGTATGTTGGTCTGGGAAAAGGCTTCAGAGCAGACCCAGAGCCTGACGGAGGGATTCAAGTGGACAGTCCTTTGACACGTATCACCTACCTTAACATTGTGACAGCTGATCAAATGATGTGCAAAGAACTTAAAACTATCCAGCCCCAAAAAAAAGGCACTTCTAGATCCAGATCTGTTCATTGGGAAACTGACTGGACATCTAAAACTGAACTGTTGATGGCTGCTCAGTCGATGCAGCTTCAGCTTGTTTCACTGGAACTGTAGGAACGACTGAGTACAAATATTTGACATGTTAGAAATATTTGGAATTTTGTTCAAACTTGGGCCTTAATGATAGCAGGAACCAGCACTCGCTTCAAAACCAGTCCTCGTGTTTACTGTCAACAAAGACGAGTGCATTTTGTCTCGCAGCATAAATCTACACAAGTGTGTAAAGATAACTAACCCCAGAGAATAACGTGTATCAAAGTTTAGAAGCATGACTGGCTAAAATAAACAACTGCAGAAACACATCCAGTTTAAAAAAAAGATATCAACTCTTGCAGTTGACTTTTGTAATATTTTTTTCAAATGGTTAATAGCAGCCACATCTGAGCACAAGTTATTTCAGCAGCACAGTCTTATGTTTGACTTGTCGGAGTGTTTCCGGCAATTTGAGTGCCTTTCAAGGCAGAGTGCTTTTTGTTTGAGCTGGAACAGCGTTTGTCGAATGTGTCAACAGAAAAACATGCTTCACGACTAATTTAGGAGAATACTAAAAACATTCTGAGTCTTGTGTTATTCTCTCTTTTGACTTTCATCTACCCAAATGTAGGAACTGACACAAATATTTAAACCCATTCTAAGTAAATCTTGTCTTTTCTTTCCTTATTAAAGTTGCACTAACCACAGTTTTCAAGGCAGATTCTGATGTTCTGAATGTGTGTTCACTGGTTGGAAATATTTATTTTCAGACCAACCAGTCACCAGTCAGGTCTAAAATGTATTGATTTGGGTCACTGGTCATAAATTTTTTAAAACAAGCTTATGTAATTTCTAAAATATCTGCTATGCATGGCATCATTTCTACAAATGTCTATAGCTGCACAGAATCAGAAGAATCACAAACACAGAAAATGTCAAAATGCTGTAGTAACTATGTGAGGCCTGTGGGGGGTGCTGTAACGCTGTCTAAAAATACACCAAAAACAGGAAACAAGGCGTGGAGTATGGGCACAATGCTTTCAGGTAGAATATAAAATACAAATACAATAAGAAGAGGACGCCATAAGGTTGTGGGTTAGATTAGAGGTGGAGCTATGACATCAACAAATGTTTATATATCCCCCCCCCCCCCCCCCCCCTCTGGAACAAAAAAAACATTTGTTCCAAAGGGGAAACAAACCATTCCCTGTGGACAGCCACTAAACGGTCAGCTAGGCCTGTCATGATAACAAATCTTGCTGGGCGATTAATTGTCTCAGAAATTATTGCGATAAACAATAATATTGTTTGAAATTTGACAATTAGTAATAATTACAGTGAAATTTAAGAAGAAATGTTGGTTAATTTGTTTTGCATGTAGTAACTTTTTTGAACACCAGATGGCAGTATAAGACTGAATTTAAGGATGGATAGTAAGGGAGCAAGCAGCGTTTCTCTTTAAGAAAAATGGGAGGGAGGCCCCTTGACGTGACATGGGCTGTCTCTCCTTCCTTTATTTGGTTCTCAAAATGGCAGACGTTCAGTGTGGTTTGAGCTCTTTAGCATAGCATTTTTCACAAAAGGCTTTCAATAAAAACTCAGTAAACAAGTTCTCAGCTTCTTTTTGCAGAGAAAAACAACTTGTTACATGAAGGCACAAGATTCAACTGTGAATTTTGGAGCTTCGACAAGATGGAGGTTTTTTCCCTGAAGTCAGCCCGTTAGCTTAGCTCGTAGCTTAGCTTCTCAGCTTAGCTGCTTTTAACGATCCAAAAACGTGATTATGGACGGTTAAATGGATTTTAAAGAGAAAGGAAGGGGTCAGTGAAGAGCACCACAATTGAGCCTTTTGTCATCCAGTGTCTTCAGTTGAAAGAGAGAGACACGAAGAAACGATAAAGCCGATAAATGAAAATGAGGTTGATAATTTTTATTTATTACGCGATTAATTGATTTATTGTTTATCGTGCCAGGCCTACGGTCAACCTCTAATAAAATGTGTAAACTTGGACAGGTGTCATCTGCTACACTGGAATGTGCCACAAGAGTCACTTCAGGTGTGTTTACGTGATCTTTAGGATACTAGTGTAAACATGGTTCTCTGTATGAGAGATGTCTCGGCAGACAACCCTTCTTGACAGGGCGAAACAAGAAAAGGTGCTTGTTTCGAAGTATGCTGCGTCGTATCGCAAGCTACTTAAAAGGTTAAGTGATAAGAGGTAAGTGCTGAAGAGGAATACGAAGTGGAAGTGTCCTCATGATACATCAAAACAAATGCTATGAACAAGAACACGTAGTTCCAGAGAAACATGCCGAGAGCCACCACATTGTTGAGCCGCTTTATTTTTATGAGAAGACATTTGGTTATTGTTGAATAAAGCTTAAGCGTTAAAGTGACATTAGATTATTTACATCTTTGACAAACAGCCTCAGTGTTTTCTGTTTGACAAGCTTCAATAAACCAGATTTGTTTTGGTGGAACGAACGTTAGGGTTTGATGTGTTCAGGTAATCAGCGTGTGCATAGGAACTCACTTGGAAGGTGCTTTAATTAACCGCTCAATCATGCGTCCCTGGCTGTTTTCCAGTATGATGAAGTTGAAGCAGTTCTCATAGGCAATGCTGCTGTCGTCTTCTAATGGCTGAACCTGCACCAGAGAGCGGTGAGCGTAGTCCGTCACCAGGAAGCGCTCTCCGCTGTTCAGGATCAAACGCACAAGAAAAGACGTAAATCAAAATGGGAATGTAGGACCGCAAAGACTAGGTTTAATCGGAAACACCAAAAATATGCCTGATGCAGTAAAAAAATATATATTTACACACTCTGCATAAACTGTACCAGATATTTTGGCTCTTCACTTCACTTAAACATTTTTTGTGTCACTTCCTGTTTAATATGATGAGTCAAGAATCGTCTCCAGAGGACAGAAATTCAAAGAATCACGCTTTTTTACAGTGATATTCTTCATTTGTATCGAGGTGTTATGACAGCTGGAAGAGCTTTTTCAACCCATTGAGTTGATTCAATACAAACTTGAAATTAACAAGGTTGAGTTTTACCCAAGTTGAACGAACTCAGAATAAACTCTTCTTACTTCACACGATCTGACTGTGTAGTTATTAAGGATGATTTGTTGGTCAAAAATAGATATCTCTTTAATAACAGTGTTTTGTTTTTCCTCTCCAAATTTACTTACATAACTTGAATGTTTTTAAATCATACTTGTATTTTATAATGATTTATGAATAAACCCCCCGGCAGTGGATCCAACTCACCACCAGGTGGTGATTAGTTGACAGCTCTGCCCCTCTCTTCACCCGATTGTCCAAGACATAGAAATGCAAGTCTGACAACACGAATTACAAAATCGATCATCAACCTTTGAGCTAAGGTGGTCTGGTACCAAGTACACTTATGAACCACCCTATGCTTAAACATGATGTTCATTATGGACAGTCCATGCCTAGCACAGAAGTCCAATAAATGAACACCATTCGGCTGGACAGACCACATAAACCCAAACATATAGTGAGGGTGAACTGGGAATGTCTGGTGGAGGCCCCTTCTGTACGATCTTCAACTCACACCTCCAGGAGAGTTTTTCATATATCTCGGGGGAGGTCAGGGACGTAGAATCTGAATGGGCCATGTTCAGGGCCTCTATTGCCAATGCAGCTTCCAGGAGCTTTGGTCTGAAGGTCACTGGTGCCTGTTGTGGCAGCAACCAAAGAAGGACTGCAGCTTCAGTGGTCACAGATGCAAAAACATGGGCATGGGAGGAATTTGGGGAGGCCATGGAGAAGGACTTTCGGTAGGCCACGAGGAGGTTCTGGCAAATGGTTCGATGAATCAGGAAAGGAAAGCGGACCTTATCCCAGGTTGTACTTGGGGGGTTGCTGACCTGGACGGAGGATATTATAGAGTGGTGTAAGGAGCACTTCAAGGATCTCCACCCACCATGTCCACCTTGAGTCTGGGGACTTGAGGGAAGATGAGTCCATTATCATGGCAGAGGTCACCGAAGTAGTCAAAAAGCTAATTGGTGGCAGGGTGCCGAGGTGGATGAGATTTGCCCGTAGATGCTGAAAGACATGGATGTTGTAGGGCAGTCATGGTTGACACGTCTCTTCAATGTTGCATGGAGGATTGGAACAACACCTGTGGAGTGGCAGACCAGGGTGGCAGTTACCATTTTTAAAAAGGGGGACTAGGGTGTGTTCCAATGATTGCGGAATCACACTTCTCACACTAGCTGGGAAAGTTTACTCCAGGATGTTGGAAGGGAGACTCTGACCGATTGTCAAACAACAGATTGAAGAGGAGCAGTGTGGTTTTTGTCCTAGTCGTTGAACAGTGGACTAGATCTTCACCCTTGCAGAGATGATAAGGGGGTCATGACAGTTTGCCTCTCCAGTCTACGTGTTTTGTGGACAAGGAGAAAGCTTATGACCATGTTCTTTGAGGCATTCTGTGGGGGGCATGAAGTGCCTGGTTTGCCTTTAAGTGTTATCCCTATAAAACCAAAGTAGAAACTGTGTCCACATTCTTGACACAAAGCTGAGTGCGTTCCTAATGCAGGTTGAACTCCGCCAGGTCTCTCCCTTGTCTCAGATCTTGTTTGTGGTGTTCATAGACAGGATCTTGAGACACAGTCGTGAAGAAGAGGGTGTCTGGTATGGGAACCTCAGCGTCTCATCTCTGCTTTAAGCGGATGATGTGGTTCTGTTGGCATATTCAGGCCAAGACCTTCAGCGTATACTGGGGTAGTTCGCAGCCGAGTGTGAAGCAGGGGAATAAGAGTCAGCTCCTCAAAGTATGAGGCCATGATTCTCGACCAGAAATGAGTGGAATGCCACCTCCGGGTCGGGGGAGAGTGTTTGCCTCAGGGGGAGGAGTTCAAGTATCTGGGCGTCTTGTTCACGAGTGATGGTAGGATGGAGTGGGAGATGGATCAACAGATTGGGGCTTCCTCCTCAGTAATAAGTGCTGTGTTGTCATCATTGTATGTTTCCGTACAATGACCAAATTAGTTCTCTGTATTTAACTCATCACACATGAGATACACCCAGGTGGGGCAGTGTGCAGCTATGTAAGCGCCTGAAGAGCAGTTAGAGATTAGGTGTCTTGCTCAAGGACACCACAACATGTGCGCACGGCAGGGAGTTGAACTTTTGACTTTCTGGTCCCAAGTTAGTTGCCCTACCTCTACACCATCTCAGCCCCATAATGAGGGCATTGCTTCGGTCTGTCTGTGGTGAAGAGAGAACTGAGTCGAAAGGCAAAGCTCTCGATTTACTGGACTTTCTACCTTCCATCCCTTACCTATGTTTACGAGGTTTGGATCCTGACCAAAAGAACAAGATCCTGGATATAAGTGGCAGAAATGGGCTTCCTTCGCAGGGTGGCCGGCTTAGCCTTAGAGATAGGGTGAGACGCTCCATCATCTGGGTGGAGATCGGAGTAGAGCCACTGCTCCTTCGCATCGAAAGGAGTCGGTTAAGGTGGTTCGGGCATCTGATTAGGATGCCTCTTGGACACCTCCCTTTAGAGGTTTTCCAGGCACGTCCCATTGGTAGGAGGCCCCGGGGAAGACCCCGAAGTCGTTGAAGGGATTTTGCATCTTGTCTGGCCTGAGAACGATTCAGCGTCTCCCAGAACGAGCTGAAAAGTGTCACTGGGTAGAGGGATGTCTGGGTTTCTCTCTTGGACCTGTTGCCTCCGCGACCCGATTACGAATAATCGTGAGAAGGTGGATGGATGAATAAAAACAATTACACATTCATAAATCACCCTGAGTTAACTTTTCTTTATGATTTATGTGATTGTAGTATTAAATGCTACATTTTTTTCAGTAAGCTTCTTTCATCCAATTATGAATCAACACAATACTTATTTTGAAATAACTAGTCACGATCCTGAGAATTTGTGTTTGTTTAGTAGTTTGAGTTATTTGTTGTTGTTTTAAGAGAAATTACCATTTTTTTAGATGCCTTGGGTTCAGGATGATTTTTTAAGGTCCTCTGCCAATTATCTCAGTCTGTCTTGCTTCCTGCTCCTCATAACTTATCAGCTCAGCTGTGATCACTCGGCAATCATTTATCTCATTGTACATTAAATTCTGGTTTTCACTGAATCACTAGTCAGTCAAACTATTTCTGGTTTCCTAGATCTTTGTGTTTACAGTCTTGTTTCATTTCTGTTCCAGTGTTTTGTTTGTAATGCTAGTTTGTTGCTGCTTCTCCAATTTTTGCCTTATTTATTAAAATCTTTGGCATTTTCACACCATTTGCTTGTGTTTACGTCTGCATTGTGGGTTTTTAATATTTGCCTCATGACACTAGTGTCAATGGTTTGTGTAGGTACTGTTTTACAGCTATAAACAATGTTGCTTTAAAAAACAAGCGCACCGCAAGCAGAGCAATATATAAAGGAATAGAAATACATTTGCCTTAAACCTATTAAAGCAATACTTCTTATTAAAGAGTTTTCACCATGTTGTAAATAAACCATCAGTGATAGTTACCCAAATGAATTTTTAATTTAAAGGGGAAAAAAGTTTTGTAAAAATGGTAATCCATGCTTTAAAGTGAGCTGACAAAGAATCTCTATGTATGAAATATAGAAAAGGGCCACAACTCTGGTAAGAAATGGAGCAGCACAAAATAATGACAATATGCACAGCCTCTTATCATGATAATACTTCCCACCAAGTTTTATCAAACTCCTATAAAAGGTGAAAGAGAAGTTGAGCTGAAGAGAAAACCATGAAATAATGGACAGACAGAGGACGATATGCTCCATAACATAATACAACCCTTCTGGCGTATAATAGGAATGGATCAGAAAGTTTATTCTGCCGTACCTTTTCTTGACAGCAATGATGAGCAGATCATTGAAAAGGAAGAGGTTTACAGGATTGAACTTCATCCTCATGTTGACAATAGTTTTTCCTCTGGACATTTCCTGAAGCTCGCCCTTCTTCTCCAGAAATCGAGTCTCTGAGATGATCGGGATTGCCTGACGAGGACGGACAATTAAGAGTTGTTCAGAATAATTACGAACAAACGGCATCAGTGCTGTCCCAATATGTAACATTCAAACTATATACTCCACACAGGTTTTTATATCGCAACAGAAAATGTATAAATTAGGGAATAGGTCTGCATGATACGAGTAAAGCATGCAGGAACATTAGTGTTGAATACTGAATTGACAAAATCAGTTGCTAGGTGGAGTTTGTGTGTTCTCTTTGTGCATGCATGGGTTTTCTCTGGGTACTCCAGTTTCCTCCCACAGACCAAAAACATGCATGTTAGGCTGATTGGTAACTCTAAATTGTCTCTAGGTGTGAGCGAGAGAGTGAATGGTCGTTTGTCTCGTTTTGTCTCTATGTGTCCCTGTGATGGACTGGAGACCTGTCCAGGATGTACCCCGTCTCTTGCACAGTGACTGCTGGACATGGGCACCAGCAACCTCTGGGACCCGAAAAGCAAGAAATGGTTAAAGAGAATGAGGGAATGGAAAATCAGTTGCACTGAAGGTGAATGTGCAATGTACAGTCATCAGTGCATGATCCCATACGATGACGAAATTTGTGCTCTGCATTTGACCCATGCGTTACACCCAAGTGGAGCAGCGGGCAGCTATTTAACCACCCAGGAGGCAGTTGGGATTGGGTGTCTTGCTCAAGTACACCCCAACATGTGGGCATGACGGGGAATCCAACATGCAACTTTCTAGTCCCAAGTCTACCTTTTGAGCTCTACCACTGCTCCACAGCCACCCCAATATCAAAAGTGAAACTCACATGTTCTGTCATTACAGAGTTTACAACAGTCTCCATGTGCTGACTGGGGGGTGGGGGCTTTGATAGCCACATTTGTATTGTTGGCAAGCAGTTTGTGTTCGGTACTTTTTGGAACCCTTTGTAATATTGTCATCTAACGCAGATACTGCAATATCAATAAACTTGAGTTCAAATGAACTATTTTCTCTCCTAGCACAAGTCTTCCTAAACAACAAATTTAGGGACACGAGTACAAAGCTTTGAGGGACAGCCATAATTGATTTACAACATTTTAACTGCATTACCCACAACTATGAGTTTGAAAGAAAACATCTCGGAGAGAAGATTTTTACATTCTGGTTTTTAATTCTGTGAACTTGTATTTTTTCCAACTTTACCATATTATCAGAATCTCACAATGGCTCACGCCTAGTTCATAGTATACACAAAATATTGGCAAATGAAACTCCTGTTTATATTTGTGCGTGCAAGTGTAAACTCACCTTGACTTTACTATCAAACTCCAGCATGCGAGAGAGATGAACCAACTCCTCCACCTGTCTCATCTTCCCCACCTCCGTGTTACACTTGTCGATAATCTGTGTTTGATCAAAAGAGTTATCAAATTACTTCCTGTTATCAAGTTACTTATAACAGTTGTCTAATTACTTACATTTATAAACACTTCGCTTCTAAAAAGTCAGGTTATAATTGTAGTGAGACACGTGAGATACGTGTCACTTGTTGTATGACAAATATATGGATATATATTTATGCATACTTTTCACGAGTTCTTCATTTTTCTGACTGTAAATGTCGTGCATTGAATTTAACAGAAATGTAACGAGAGACGTTATTTATCTTTGACCCATCAAATGAATGGAATCATTTATTTTCAGAATCAAAGTTTAACATCAAACATTTACATTAATTTGGCAAAATATGAAAATAATAACAGACAGTTTCACAGAAAATGAACTTCAAATCACTCGGCGGTGATTTGAGGACTTTGCTTAAGATATTTCTAAAATATCTGTACTGATTTATGAGAGAGAGAGGTGGGTTTTAGAGTGAAAGGAGATTATCTTACAGAGAACTGTGTGAGGGAAGTTTAATCTGTTTAACCAGAAATTGCACGCTCCGTCAGATCCTCAGCCCGTCCACGGTACACTTTAGTCGAAGAAGAAGCCTTTACCTGGTTTGACGATAGATCAGCTCAGTAAGCATCCTTCAGACTGTTTCCAGCGCCTCCGTTAAGCACAGCTAAAAATCCTCGGAGAGTCGTGCGTGGTTAGCTCAAAACAGACTTATAATCCCAAACGTCCCTGGATTCTTCATAACTCCAAACTCTTCATAACCGGCTGCACTCTCAATCTGCTCATTCTGTTGGACTATCGGACCTGTTGTCAGCTCTCATTCCAACATCTCTCAGAACTCTCATTCTCTTGGAATTCTGGAATCCATAATTCTCTATTCCTTCTCTTCTCTATGAACTGAGAAGTTGCCACATTTTATTTGGGTCGACTTCCTGTTCAATTTAGAGCTTTCTGATTCGTGGAAGGACCAGAAAGAGGAGTGGATTTGTGACGTAAGATGTTATCATAAGTCAAGGATTGTTTACAACATACAGAAAAGATTATTGCAGCAACAGCAGACTTCGTGGAGTCTCACACTTTGTAATCTTTTCAAATAGTAAAACATGACATTTTTCTCGGTAAACATTTTAGTTGACCGAAAACCAACCTTTAACATACTTACGACAGCTTGCTCATTTCAGACAGAAAATCAAGAAAGGCATATTCAGGTGATTTCTTCTCTGAATGAGGAACAAAAATCATTACTTACTGTTTATGTAAAATAAAAATTAGTAGTTCTTTTCAACCTGTAAAGCATTGAGTGAACTAACACAATTTGATTATCAAAACATTTGTAAGACAGTAATGATTATAGAGGATTGTCTTTTCTGCTTGATTAATTCAAGAAAGAAAGTTCATCAGATGGTTCAGACTTATTCTGGTCAATGAAAATAACAGTCTCTGTCCATCTGGTAGATTTGAGGTTATCTGGTTCACTACATAATTCTCTTCAGTACCAGTCCTACAGGGAGTATCAAGGTTTTCCTTTTCAATCTTAAATTCTTTTAACCTCACTCGCCACAAAAAGAAAGCATTCAGCAGGAACTCCATCATTCACACAATGGCCGACATCAAATTTCCACAGTTGTGTGAAGCGTTTCAGGGTCAAATTATATGGATGTGTGTGCAGAGTGGAAAGTGGAGAGTGAAGGGCGTTTACCTTCGACACTGAATCCAAAGCCTTGGTGGCCTCCTGCTCCTCTTTTGTCCCCTGCTTTGTTCTTTTCAGGATGTTCTGCAACGACAACGTTTGGAAATTGTCTTTAAAGTTGCTGCAGTTCATTTTTTCCCCATGAAATGCAGTAAAAGGTCACAGAGTTGGGTCAACGTGCACATATGCCCGTGATGTGACATGAAGGAGTCGAGCGCTTTAAGAAGGAAAGTTTTTTTCTGAAAAGAAGACATTCCACGCAGACAAACACCGTGGAGTTTCTTTTGTGTCTCTGTTAAATCATTAAAGTTAGCTGAAATCCAGATTTTCTCGTTTTTGGGTCTTGTCAGTCAGTTTGCAGCATTTTCCAACTTGCAACTGAACTGAGTGATCCTCATTCCCAGATCTGAGTGGGTCTTCTGTTCTCTGGTTCAGTATTTTGTTGATAAACATTAATTTTAATCAGTAACCATGAAAGGAAATAGATATTATAATTGCTTTATCTGTTTGTCTGTCTATTGACAAAATGGCTATTACTATCTTTAGTGGATTTTACAGATACTGTACTAAAATATAATGCGATACTGTGAGCGCTAGCATACGTGAGATCCTAAAATATTTCAAAAAGGAACTTTAAATTCTTCGTGTAAGACTTCAAAACAGTGTCAACATGAGAAATGAAGGGATTTTTGTGTTTTGACTCCCTTATTTCTCCGCCTCACTCAAACTTCTGATAATATTTTAAACATGAAGCGACTTGAAGCTGGAGAACGTGTTTTTCCGGTTTCTATCATTCACCACTGACATGAGAGATGGGAAGACTGCTCCCTATATTTAATAATAACTTGTTAAAAGTATGTAAGGAAAGCAGAATGCTTTTTTTCTCCATGCATATGATTCAAAAAGTTACGACTTTTAAAAGGCTCCATAAACGATGGTTGGCATTTTAAAAGATTTTAATCGTATTTTCTGGGTTTGAAAACAGGGACTCGTCTACATAAACCTGAAGATCTGGAAGTGCCAGTGGATCGATCTGCCTTCCGTATTTAGAGATGAATATCTGCATAAAGAGCTCCGCTAGTATCTGTGTGACGCGTCTCACCTCGATGAGCATTTTGATGCGAGTGATTCGCTGGAAGGGAAGCAGCAAGAAGGACACGAAGGGCAGCCGCTGGCACTGAGGCGACTCTTGAAGATGTCTGATCACTGCGGCGAACTTTGTGTTGTTCTTCCTGTAGAGACGCAGAGAGACAAAGAGGTGGTCTAGTTTGTAATATTCCTGTAGGAGCGCAGGCATGCCGAGTTCCTTACAGTCCTAAGTGCTGACTCGTGATTTTAACGAGTCTTTTGAAGCAGTATATATATATATATATATATTGTTTCTTACTTGAGCTCAGAGAAAGTCTTTTCTTGGTAGATCTGGTTGCGAACGTAGTCGATGTAGGCAGGAAAGTTGTGCTGAGCGTGGTAATGGATTATGCCACATATATCTGAGAAGACTATGTCCTTGAAGATGTGGTCCTCCAGGTCTTTCAGGAACCTGCAACATCAAGCAGCAAAGGTTTCACTAAAGCCTGTATCGCACTTCAGTTAGGAAAGGCATTCGCGAGGGAGACTGAGGCCCTGTTTACACGACAACGATCAATGAAAACTGATTTTTTTTCCCCATTTCCATTCACACATTTACATGAAAACGTTCCAATTACGATCTCTGTGCACACAGCAACGGTAGATGTGGAAAAGGTGCAATTCCCTCGCCATGTCACTAGTTGGTGCTATGTTCTTTGAAACTTGAAAGTCTCGCATGCGTATAAATCCGTTGTACCTGAAAGCAGCTACAACAGTGGAGAAAGTCAACGAAAGTTCTCCCTCCATTCTTTCTCATCGACTACACTGTTTATAGCTATCCCACCGCTGGCTTTTCCTCCCAGGTCGCCTCCTAGCCGTGGTTCTTCTTCTCATACATCCGTTAGGTAACAGAATGGAGCTGTACGAGATCCATCTTTGATGATTTAAGTTAAGAGGTAGAAAATGAGCACCGTGTTGGAGAGCCAGTTAGATTTAGAAGAGTCAGAAGCACAAACAGTACTCTGGTGTCGATAGTTTCTTCTTCTGTGGATTATAGGAAGCCGTTATGTTTCGCGTCATACTGCGCATGAGCCAAGGATTCCCTGACAGAAAAGAGCCGTTTTTTTCTGTTTACACAACAATGGACACCGGGACTTTTTTTTGAACGTTTGCTCTCTGGAAGCCGTTCTCAAATTGTGCCGTTGTCAGAGAAAACGTTCAATATTTTCGTGTAAATGAACAGTTCCAACGCAACGAAACTCTTCCATTTTCACCAGAAATCGTTTTCGTGTAAACGTGAAACGTCTTGAGTTGTTGTTGTGGGTCCTCACTTTCTTTGCTGAAGTTGCAGAAGTTCACAGTCCTGTCGCTTGAACTTTGAACGCGTTTAAAAAAATTGCCAAAAATAAACCTTTGTCAAATTTGTCCTAGCGTGTCACGTATGTCTCAAATCTGTCACTTTAGTTTCTGTAACTCTACATACAGCACTAGAGTTGTATTTTTTTGTCAGTTGCCACCCATTGTTTTTTAAATTGGAGGCAGCCACCTCCACCTAAAAAGGGTCTTGCTCCGCAACGTGTACCCCCACAAATTTTATATCAAAATGACCAGCTCGGCACAGTGATGCTATTACTCTTATTGGCATATCGAGTTACCATGGCGACGTAATTTGAAAACAAAGATGCCAGTTTCTTGATTGAAAAGCACTTCAAAAGTTCATGTTCTATAATCCAGGTAAATAATCCAACAAAGTTCAACCAGGTCCCCTGGATGTTTTTTTTTCTGAAACGTTTCATCCTTCATCCATAGGACTTCTTCAGTCCAAGGAGGCACAAACAAACTGGAGTTCCACACAAAGCACACGCCCATAAAGGGAAGTTCAATGACTATTTTTACAAGCTATTTGACTAATAGCTGCTTCTCAGCAGGCTACTCTCTCAGAGCAGCTGATTGCAGCCACTTTTCATGAACAAACATACTCATGAAGCTCTGACCAATCAGAACTAGTTCTGACTTGGGGCGATGCATAAGATGGAATGTCAGCAGGTGGTGCGAGTACAAAAATATGAGATTTTTGTCACGCACTCATGCCAGCGAGACACAAATTCAGCTCCTCACATGGACCAGCCTGAAGTGTCTCCCTGAGCTCTCCTGACAGCTGTGTTACTATTTAACGAGTGCACCACCCTTACGCCTTCATTTGGGCATCTGATTCAGATAACTTCTGGACGCCTCCATTTGGACGTCTTCTGGGCATGTCCCACTGGGAAGAGGTCCCAGGGTAAAACCCAGAACTTGCTAACCAGGGAACACCTTGGGGTCCCCCAGGAGGAGCTGCAGAGGGATGTCTTGTGTGTCTCTCCTGGACCTGTTCCCTCAGCAAGGGAGACTGAAAAGGAGACCACCCCAGTCAAACTCCCCACCAATCCTTGGAGCAATCCAATCAGCATGAGCCGAGCGCTTGACACCATTCGGGGCTCGCCACCCCGTATGAGTGGAAATTAATTGATAACAGTGGAGATATTTTGCTGAGGCTGATTGTCCTTATGGCAGGGGGTGCAGCTACTACACTAATAATGTAGTATTATTATAAATATTTATGAATTATAATGTTATGAATATTAATTATAAATTAGTATTATTATAAATAGCATAAAGAATATTATAATGATAATATGCTTTGTTTTCTCCAACTCCTGCAGTTGTAAAGCCACAGACTCTAAAGGAAGAGCTTGCTTGCAGAGACAACTTGGTCTGCTTGTGTTTTAAACGCTCAGTGGCAGATTTGAACAGAGCCGTGTTTTCCAATTCCTTCTGTCTTGAGAGCTTGGGTTATCAGAAAACATTGGAAGCTAAAGCCCCAAATGTTCAGGTCTGATCTCACTCACGATAGTTAGTAATAACTAAGAAATCTGGTCTGAATCTGCTTATCATCGATTTAAAAGCATTTTCCAGTTGTCCAACAAAAAAGGTTAAATCGTGTCATCTGGACCAGTTTCTTTAAGTGAGAAACGTTTCGTCTCCCATCCAGAGGACTTCGTTAGTCTGTGGCCTGCCAACCAGATCTGTCCCACAGGTAGCCTTCACTGCTGTTTCAAGCCACCCTCTTGTTGAAATCTCAGAAGCAGGTTTTTAACACGTGCAAACAGGACACATCCGTCCAAAACAATCAATCATGTACAACAATCAAATGTTTTAGGCCAGATGGCCAACTTGCTACTCACAGAAACAGCCTGAGGACATCAAGGCCAAAATTAGAGATGCGCCGATCCGATACCAATATCGGTATCGGTCCCGATATTGGAAAAAAAAACTTCTGGATCGGGTATCGGTGACAATGTGACCAATCCACAACTGGGCAGATCTATTCACTCTAATTCTATGCTTTGTGCTCTGAGTGACGTCACGCGCTAGTGAACTCACCGCACAGATCGTTTTCAAAATGGAGCGAGCGAAAGGATCAGCCATCTGGAACTATTTCACACTACCTCAGCCAACACATTCGACAGCTACGTGCAATACGTGCAATACGTGCACAGCGACGGTTCCAGGGGGTGTCACTAAAACTTCCAGTTATAACACTACCAACTTAATCAAGCATCTCCAGAGATTTCACCCTAAAGAGCGCGCTGAGCTTGTTGAACGGAATTCAGCACTGTTTTTCTGTATCAGTATCGGCCGATACTAATCCTCGGGCATCGGTATCGGAAGTGGAAAAAGTGGATCGGTGCATCCCTAGTCAAAATGGTTAAAAAAAAAAGGTTTGTAAGCTCAACCATCAGGTAGATAATAAAAAATGTTAAATCATGTCATCTGGACCGTTTTCCAGTGGATTTAACCATAAATGTGGAGGCCCCTGCTAAAAGGGGGTACAATTAGGGCGGAGGCGAGCAAAGAAATAATGTGCATGGCCTAGGATAAAGTTTTGCAAGCCCATGAAAATAGGCAACGATCCTTGAACATTGGTGGCGTAAAACATGGCGGCACGGCTCGCTGTTTGCAAACACTCAGGATTTCTGAGACCGCGGCAGCAAATTGATACATTTTCCACCAACTAGACTTTTACAGTCAAAACTCTGAGACACTGGCTTAAACACTTGCACATCAGTGAGACTATATTTAAATGCTATGATTCTTTCTCATATAAATTATTGCATGACGAGTTGGTCTCAGGCGAGTCGAGCCACACTACAACCAATACAAAGACTCTATAAGCAGACTCTGAAGACTTGGGACAAAAAATCTAATTCTTATCATCATTGTAAAATATTACATAAGTATGACTTTTTGAGTTGGGAAAACATGATCATGTATTCAGATGCCATACTTGTACATAAAGTCCTTCATGGTTTGGCTCCACCACCGCTGAAAGACTTCGTCCAATTACGTTTACAACCAAAGAGCAGTTAGTAGGGGAGACTAAAATACCATTTAGAAAAAGTTCCTTTGATCAGTCGTCATTTTCTGTTTGGGCTTCAAATTCTTGGAATAAACTACCATCGGATCTAAGAAATAGTACGCAATAGTAAGCAATGGTTACTAGATGATCAAAATTGTACTCATGTTTTAAATAATTCTTAAATCAACTTTTTACTTGTTACTTTTTCCTTCCCGTTTCCCCTTTTATGGTCGCGACTTGTTTTTATTTCTTTATATAAATGTTTACTGTAAATTACACTACTTTTAGCTATATTTAAATTTGCTATAACTTATAGGTTATAGTTATGAATGTTAATTGTATTTTTTAAATCTCTTACATCAACCTGCCAGGGGACTACAGATGAAAATTAGCCTCTTTGGCTAAATCTGGCATATTTATGTGATGTATTCATGTTGATTAAGATGCATTGTCCCTTTATGAAATAAAGAAGCTGAACTGAATGAGACAATACGTCTCCATTCGGCCTTCCCGGTGCGACGCCTCACCTCTCGCTGACCTCCCGAACCCTCAGGATGTTGGAGAAGAGAGTTTTCTTGTCTCTGATGACCAGCGTGTCGTTCAGCTCCCGGTTGTCCAGGAAGTGTTCGGTGAGAATGCGGAGCGATCGCAGGTAAGAGGCCTCCGAGGTCAAAACCTCGAACATGCTCTACAGGGCAGAAGATGATCAGTGTTGCAGGTTATACACATAAAATGAAAAGAATTAGAAGTAAAAACCAGGACCAAGACTTTAAAATTGAGTTTTCCTCCTCCTTCATATTAACCTCCTGCTCCTCACCTCCTGGTACTTCAGCTCTTTAGTAGAGAGCTGCTCCAGCATTCCACTGTCCCGTACTTCAGGGAGCTCCTGCCACAAAGTGCTGCTGTTGGCCTCTTCGTTAAAACCTGAAGCGTCAGAGCCTTTTCTGTTGCGATTGGACATCCAGTCCACGGGATAGTCGTAGCTCGTTTTACTGATGTTGCGATTGACGGTCTGCCGACGGATCTCCTTCGTGATGACGGTTTTGCGGTACATCTGGTACAGAGGCTCTGAGGTTGAAGGGAAAAGTGGAATCGTTTGAGAAAACTTTAGCGTGTATCCTGCAGAAACTGCGCCAGAAAATGACTTTAATCCCTCTTAGAAATATCAAGCATCGGATTTTTGGAAGTGAGGTTCTGAGAAAAAGAATGGTTAATATCTTACCTGTTGTAGATAGGTTTTTTTTTATAAGTTTAGTTTGGAGAAACAGATTTTAATCCAGATGGGATCAGATCAGTGAAGTAACGGAGCAAACTAGGTGACTGTCGTCTTTAAACAACTTGAGTCTAAAAAAAAATTCTTAGTGTTTTTTGAAAACACTTTTATAAATATTATATCACTGAAAATTCCACATTACAGGGAGTTATCTGATCATTTGCAAAACCGCACAGTGGTGGTAGCAGATGGCTGTAGCACTTCTGGTGCAGCCTTCCTGCAGAAATATATTTCTTACACAAAAACTGAAACGCCAAAACTGACTACGCAGTGGTTCCCAACTCTGGGCCTTGAGGAACACCATCCTGTAGGTTTTAATTGTTTCCCTGCTTTAACACACCTGATTTGAATGAATGGGTGACTAACAGGAAGTAATTAAATCACTGAATCAGGCGTGTTGGAGCAGAGAAACAACTAAAACATGCAGGGTGGTGTTCCTCAAGGACCAGGGTTGGGAACCACTGGATTACAGTAAACGGGTTTATAAAATAGCTTTTGCACATAATACTATCAACAAAAGTTCATGCTCAATAATCCAGGTATAAAATCCAACAATGTTCAGTCAGGTCATCCGGATGATTTCTTTTGTTTTGCACTGAGACGTTTCGTTCGTCATCCAACGGACTTCTTCAGTCTAGGGAGCTACCAAACAAACCAACACCAACAGAATACTCCACAGTGGAAAAGATCTGTTCTGTTTGGTGGCTCCTCCAATTGAAGAAGTCCAGTGGATGAAGGACGAAACGTCTCAGCACCAAAAAAAAAAAAGAAACCGTCCAGATGCCCTGACTGAACATTGTTGGATAATATTAATTTTTGAGATTGGTGTTTTAAGATCGCGGCAATCAACTCTGACCTGGTCCCACTTGGACTAGCTGCTAGCTCGTCTGTCGGGTCAGAACTAAACAGTTTCTCCAAACTAGAGCTGGGCGATATGGACCAAAATGAATATCTCAATATTTTAAGATAAATCATGATATACAATATATATCGCAATATTTTTTCTTTCCATAAATAACAATAATATATTTCTGAGTCAAAGCTTTGTCCCAGTTGTCACACAGGCACATCTACTGTAGTAAACAACTGTAACTGTACAAAATAAATGTCTAAAAAATAAACAATTTACATATATTAATAGTTTATATTTTAGACGTTTATTTACATATGCTGCCATCACGACGTTAGTAAGCATGTGTGAACTGCAACTGCAGCTCCGACAGATTTCAGCCTCCTTCCCTGAAACAAACCACGGTTCAGAACTCATGTAGCCGTGCTGTGTCTTATGAGAGGAACAGTGAGAGGTGGCACCGCGACATTAATAAAGCTGCAGCTTATATCGCTAAAGACACAGTAGCTGTGGAACAAGACGGCTAAAGCGTTAGCCGTCTTGTTAGCCGCTAAGGACCGTGTCTTTAGCGATATAAGCTGCAGCTTTATTAATGTCGCAACACCTCTCCGTTCCTCTCATAAGGCACAGCACGGCTACATGAGTTCTGAGCCGTGGTTTGTTTCAGGGAAGGAGGCTGAAATCTGTGGGAGCTGCAGCTTCACACACGCATCATACTCCACTTATAGCGCTGTTTTAAATGGTGAAAAAGATTTCCAGTTCCGACCTTTAATCGGGAATTTTCTTTGGCATTGTCTACAGAAATAATTTTTCTGCCCCTCGTCTGACAATTTAAATCCAAACCATCTCCGAAAGAACAGCCATTGTTTTTCTTTGTGTTCAACAGCAGCTAAGCTGCTCTTCATAGATCTCCCATGTTTATTTGTTGTGCTAAACGTCTCCCGACCACCTCCTAAAGCTGGGAGAGTGCGCAGCTGAGGTGCCTTGTGTTTGTTTTCAAGGAGGGTGACGGAGGGGGCCGCATGGGAGAAAGAAGACAGCAGGCGGATTTTCAAGTATAAAACTATTGTTTATATTGATACAGTTTCAACTTGTATCGCAAAAAAAAAAATCTCGATATTTGTAAAATATCGAGATATCACCCAGCTCTACTCCAAACTGAAGAGTTATCTACAACAGGTAAGATGTTAATTGTTCAAAACTTTTACACTGATACCCACTTCAGAAGATCTAAGCTATCCCTTTAATGTACAGTGTACAAGTTTTTTAGCACTTCACGGTCTACGTGCACATAAAGGAGGTAACTGAGATCTTCTCATAAGTGATTACAGTCTAAATATAAGAAAGAGCATAAATAAATCTACTGTACGATACATGAACTGGTCTGATTTACCGTTCTGAAGGTGGGTCTCCAGTTTGAACGAAAACGTCCTCCTGATGGAAGGCATGAAACAGGAAGTGTGACTGAGAAGTGAAGGTATGTCAATACAATACGGAATAAAGGAAATTAGAGAAAAACAGGAATTAGAGAAAGGACTCACGTATCTATGTCATCTCCATCTTCATTCCTTCCATTCTCCTCTCCTATAAAAAAAAGTAGGTGATGTTTCATGAAGGACACAAACTTTCAAACCTCAAGCTCAGTTGGCCAAGCACAAACCTGAGTTTGAGGAAACGTTGCTGTGCCTCCTGACGTCTTTCTTCGATGGAACTGGGGGTAGTGGAGGGGGTCTGCTCGGGGGTGGAGTGCCCAACATCTTGGGAGTCTTCGGCAGACGGGCGGGCGGAGCGTCGCCCAGGCTCGGGCTGGTCTCCACAATAATGGGCTTGGATGCGCTGCTGTGAGGCTCGGACTCACAAGCCAGTTTTCGGCTATTGCTTTCAGAGAACTTCAGCATGTCGTTCACTAGAAGAGTCTTTTTAAAATAATGTTCGGCGTATGGGAGATTGGTCTCGTAGATATTCTCCTCTTCGTCCTGCGAGAGAGGCTCGTGGACGGGCGGTGGCGACGGAGTAGGTTTTAGAGGAACAGGAGAAGGCGGGCCGTGGTTACTGGTGGCATGACAGCCTGCCTCTGACGCCCTGTGGTGCGCTGCAAGCAGCCCCTCCAAACGCTCCTGGAAAACCGATTTGTTCTGCTTCGTCGCCTGTTTCTCTTTAACAGAGCCGTCTGCCTCCTCTTTCGCCCTGCTGTCCTCTTTCCCTCCCTGATCCTCCTCCTCGTCCTTCTTACGGTTTTTCACGTCCTTCGGCGTCAGTCTTTTAAAACAGTTACTGGTTTTCTCAACCGTTTCCACCTCCACGGGCACCCATATCAGCATCATGCCGGGTTGCTGGAGGTGGCACAAGCAGCTGCAGCTCTGTTCGGAGCAAAAAGCAGCGGGCGCGTCTTGGCCGTGCTCGGACTCCGTTTCGCTGCCGCCTGACACCTGCGCGTCCACCTCCCTCCCATCAGGCTCTGCAACACACAGAGAAACAAACGTTCACACAAGAAGAAGGAAGACGACGTGTTGTAGTTCTTACTTATGCTTTAGGGGAAAGAATTATTTGCACATCTCAGATATACAGCTAAAATTGGTGTGGTAGTAGCTGAGAGTCATTTAGCACACATACAATGATAACGGCACAGCACTTGTTTTTTAAAGTAAGGCATGTAACGTGGCGGGCGACATGCATTCCTTCAAGAAATGACAGTTGTGTGAATATTTATGAAGCATTCAATCTATTGGGATCCATTTTTGTTCTGTACGCTTTCCATCATCTTTCTTGTTCCACAATTTTTGTGCAATTTCAACAAATAATAAAACGTTCAGCTCTTTCAGGACAATCCTGCTGTGACTTTTGGTATTGGTGCAACTTATTTTCCATCCTTCAAAATCTTTAGATTTGTTTACAGTCTTTTACTGCTCCTTTCACATTTTGTTCTACTTCAGCTTCTTTCACCTTCCTTGTGCAAATTTAAACATTTTTTCAGCTATTTTCAGCTAATTTCAGCTGTTTTGTTCTCCTTTCTGCCAACAACCGGCACACCATTTTTGTGCTTCTTCTAATTGTTTTCTGCTAATTTCCGCTTGCTATGCTCCTTTCAGCCTATTTCTGCAAGTTTCAGTTTTTTTCTACTACTGTATTTCAACTACTATTTAGCTGTTTTATGCTAATTTTAGCTTTTCAGCTAAATCCACGTTTTTTGCACTCATTTCAATTTTTTTCAGCCCAATTCAGGTAAATTGTGCTCTCTCCACTTGCTTCTGGTAATTGAAGTTTCTTTTTGCCTTTTCAGCTACTTTTCAGCTGTTTTTTAAGTTCAGCTTTTGTAGATAATTTCCACCTTTTTGTGCTAATTTCAGTTTCTTTCAGCAAGTATGTGTTCTTTCTTATTTCTTCTGTTAATTTAAGCTTGTTCTACCTTTTCAACTACCTTTTTAGCTTTTTTTTTGCTAATTTCAGCTGTTTCAGATAAAATTCAAGTTTTTCGTGGTAATTTCTGCTACTTTCATCCAAACTTCTCTGCTAATTTTGGCTTATGTTCCTTTCAGCTTATTTCTGCTAGTTTCAGATTTTTCTGCTATTTCAGCTACTATTTATCTGTTCGGCCTAATTCAGGTAAACTGTGCTCTCTCCACTTGCTTCTGGTAATTGAAGGTTTTTTTTTGCCTTTTCAGCTACTTTTCAGCTGTTTTTTAATTTCGGCTGTTTTCAGATAAATTTTAAGTTTTTTGTGGTAATTTCTGCAACTTTCAATTATTAATTTATTCCCACTAATTTCAGCTTTTTATGCTCCTTTCAGGTTTTTTCCTGCTAGTTTCAGATTTTTTCTGCAATTTCAGCTACTATTCAACTGTTTTTGTGCTAAATTTAGCATTTTCAGTTAATTCCACATTTTTAAAAATTTCATTTCAGCTCCTTTCACTTCCTTCTGGTAGTTTAAGCATCTTTCTGACTTTTCAGCTACTTTTCATAGGTTTTTTTTTTTGTTGCCAATTTCAGCTTTTTTAATTGTTATTTTTTAGCTAATTTCCTAATATTTGTGCCCATTTCTGGTTATTTAAACCTAATTCAGCAAATATGTGTTCTTTCTGCTCTTTTCTGCTAATTTAGGCCTGTTCTTCCATTTCAGCTACATTTCAGCATGGTTTTAGCTCATTTCAGCAAGTTCTTCAGCAGTAAGCATTCACACTGCATTTTCACAGGAAATGCAATTTCTTCAATGTATTTTTTATGTTCTTCTCGGCTCTACATTCTGGACTGAGCTGTTTGTTGGTTAGTTTTTTTTAAATTTTTTTATTCATTCAACCTTTATTTATACAGGTTAATCCCACTGAGCCTCGGGGAATCATTTACAAGAGAGACCTGAATTTTTAACAAAGAGTGATGACAACAATGGACAATCATAAAAGATGCATACAAATTTAATTTATTATTTTTATTTTATTTTTTTAGTTAGTGAATGTTTTTCCAAACTCTGAAGACATCTGAAACCTCCTGAACAGCATCCTCACCAGACGACTAAACCGGCTCCGTCTGAAGCAGACAAGCAGAAGATGAGCTCTGAGTCAAAGCGTCGTTCGGGGGAGGTCTCCCGTCTTCATGATCTCATCGTGCTGCTCGCTCACAGCTGATAACACAGAGTGGTTATCAGCTGTGAGTAAGAAAGGACTGGAATGAAGACCGACGGCTTCAGGCTCAGCTCTTTCCACACCAGTGCAAAAAGCACCTGCGTCACTGGAAACACAAGCTTGTCCATTTACTATTCCCCCCGCCTTGTGAACGAGACCCTGAAAGACTTACCGTAAATTCCTTCACCTGGGACAGCAGTTCATGACAAACCTGGGTGGGAAAACCCACATTTCAACAGAGGAGCAGGGAACTGCTCAATCTGCTTTTTCTTAGGGGCTGCCATGATGAGTCACTTCCTCCATGTCACTCTGTCCTCTGTGTCCTCTGTCCTCACACCAAATACCTCCATGTCCTCTCTAACTCCATCCATATATCTCCTCATTTCTAACATCTTCTACCAGTATACCCACTGTCCCTCCTCTGGACATGTCCAAACCATCTCAGTCTGGCCTCTCTAACTTTTATCTCCCAGTTGTTCAACCTGTGCTGTACCTCTGATGATCTCATTCCTACTCTTATCCATCCTTGTCACTCCTAAGGAGAACCTCAACATCTCCATTTCTGACACTTCCAGATGTCTACCTAAACTAAACTACAATAATTAGTTGGAACCAGCTGACTGCCAGCTCGACCAGTTCGACTGGGGCACTCAAAAATCCAATAATTACAACGTTTCAAAGTTTGAATCAGGAATTTACAAAAACAGGAACTCAAATTCAGCTGGGAAAACTACAGTTTTATGCTAATTTTATTTGACTCGTGAGTCAGATTAAGAGTTCGACAATGAAGTCACAATAAACTCTTTATCTAATGGGTCTCATAAAGTGGTGTCTGGGAAGTGTTTTATTATTTCCAGCAACAAGAAAACAGCTCCTCCTTTGAAAATTAGCTAGTCGAGCTGGCTCCTACCAGCATTTTTACTCTATTGAACACACACACACACACACATAAGTTTGTCTTCCTATCTTTATGGGGCCTTTGCATTGACTTCCATTCATTTTTCATTCATTTCTACAGCCCAACCCTGACCCTTATTACCTTCTTACCCTAAACCTAACCCATTGACGACACTTCTTCTTATGGGGGCTGGGCTTTGGGCTCCATAAGAAGCAGTTGGTCCTCACAACGTAGCATGTGTTGGAAAAATGGGCCTCACAAGGTAACAAATACAAAACACACACCCACACATAGGTGATCAGCTGACTGAGCTGTTTGTTATTTGATAAGAAAAGCTGACTGCACCCGTTGAAGATTTCCTTCGGTCCGTTGTGCGTTTTAGAGTTTAAAACAACTAATGGCCTCTCAAACTTAGATTTAAAGGCTGTTACAGATTTAGCAGAATTTGCAATAAATGACTAAATGTTTAGCAATGTTAAATTATTTCCCCCCCAGAGTTATAACCATACCTTCTTATATTTTGGCTTAAAACACACTCAGAGTTGTGTTTGTGAAAGTGGGAGTAAACTGCATGTCGTGACTGTAAGAAGATACAGGAACTGAAAATCACACGAGAAACAAGCCTGAGAACAAAACGTTACCTGATCCGTGCATCGCTGACAGAATGTGGTGTTTTTGACTGCAGGTGAAAATGTAAAACATAATATTTTGCTTTGGGTTATTTGATAAATTGCAGTTTTGTGTGAAACCCATCCAGGGGAGTTTTTCAATTCAATTCAATTCAATTGATTTATATAGCGCCAAATCACAACAAAGTTGTCTCAGGGCACTTTGCAGGAACATTCACATACATAGAAAAGCCAGTTGGTAAAGTTCTCTATCTAAGGAATCCAGCAGACATGTTGAATCTTTTTAATCACATATGGCGATTAAAAACTGAACTTCTTTAATAAAACAGAAACGAAAGAAACTCTGATGTAAGTTCCTGTTAAAGATGTGATTTTCAATCCGAAAAAAAAAAAAAGATCTGAAAATGAAAGTAATATTAACTGACATCTTCCAGAGTTGGGCAGTTTGCATCTTTAAATCACTTCTTGGTCTTTTGCCTTCATACATCTCCTCCTACATGTCTCTGTGTGAGTGCAGCTACAGCGTGCGCTTTCAGGACATTATTACCTGCAGTGTTCCCTCAGTGAGAACTGAACTAGGCAAAAGGGCCTTCTCCTACTCCGCTCCTGTTTCCTGGAATATCTTACATAAAGATCTGAAGCTCTCGACCATGACGTCTCTAAGTGACTTTAAATCTCTGTTAAGTTCATGGCAAAAACCAATGCAGACATGTTCCTGTTTTTAGTTCTTTACACCGCCTTATAATCTAGCTGTTTTTTTTTTTCCTCGCTACTTTTCCTTTCCTTTTGGTTGCAATTTTGTTTTTGATTTGTAAAAAAAAAAAAAAAAAAAAGAAATTAAAATTTGTATACCTCTTTTGTGACTGTCTATTGTTGTTGTTACTGTTGTCATCACTCTTTGTTAAAAAATCAGGTCTCTCTTGTAAACGAGTCCCCGACGCTCAGTGGGATTAACCTGTCTAAATAAAGGTTGAATTAATTAAACTTTGATTAAATTACACCACAGTATGGTGTGGTATTACCGGCTAAAGATTTCTAAAATATCAACTTTCTTAGACTAAAGATGCAACAAACAAGCATTATTACAAGCATTCATTATTAGTAGCATTTTGATTCTTTTAACATCTTACCTCCCCATCAATCTGGTTTCAGGAAACAACACAGCACTGCTTTGTTTAAGGTTTTTAATTATGTTATTGAAGCACTGGACATTAAGGATTATTGTGATGCACTTTACTTAGACCTGTCTGAAGCTTTTGACACTGTGGATCATAACATCTTGTGTCATAAACTCTCAGAAATTGGTTTCTCAGATCACACCATTGGTTGGTTCACTATCTCTCAGATCGGAGGCAGTATGTTCAACATAATGGTACTTCTTCCAGTTATCTTAACTGTTAACAACGGTGTACCACAAGGCTCAATCTTAGGACCCACCATCTTCTCAATCTACATCAGTAATGTAGCCTTTTATAGGAGTGTCTGTTGTTGTCTGTACCTCATCTGTGTTCTTTGTTTAAAACAGCTCTCTCTTGTAAATGAGTCCTAGTGACTCAATGCGACTAACCTGTATAAAAGGTCGAATGAAATGTCATCATTGCTGTTGCTTTTCGAATATTCAAAGACAAAAAACTAAAGATTACAGACAAATTTAAATGTGTATTTGTCTAATAAAATGCCCATTCCTGATAATGAATAACCAAAATACTGTCTAACATTTTTCTTTCACCATCCTGGGTTAGATTAAGTTACAGCAAAAGACTGCAGTACCTGATCGTCCTCCTTCTGCGCTTGTACCTTTGGGCTCTGCTCCCTCCACCCTCGGTTTGCTCACGACGCAGCTCCTCTTCTTGGGCAGTGGCGGCGCTTGCTCTGCCTTAATCTGAAGCTGAGAGTTGATGCAGGCCGGTTTGGGCCTCACTGCAGGTGGCTTTTTGATACCAGTCGGGAGCTCTGAATAACCACTGGTCTTGTTCAGGGCGCCTTTGGCCTTTCCTTCAGAAGGTTCTGAACGCTCTCCGTCAGCAGGAGAAAGGAAGAGATTTTGCACCGATGGTCGAGAGAGGACCTCAGGTCGCAGTCTGACCTCTGGTTTGGCGAGCGACGTGTGTTGTTCCTGCTTAGACATTGGAGCTGGAGGGTGTTGTCTACTCTAGTGATCTTTAAATTTCCCAAGGCTTTGAAGGGAAAGCATCAGTTTGAGGTTGTCGTTGTCACCTAGTGAGAAAAGAAAGAGAAGCTTAAACCAGTTTGGATCTGAAACAACCTTTCACAACAAGGAAATACACTGTAAGCATTTTGCAACACTAATCCTGAGTCAGACTTTGAGCTCTGAGCTATAAATCTGCTTCTAGAAGGAGGAAAATAAACTCCGGGGTCCACTCCTTCCAATGAGCATATGTTTCCACACGTTGGACAAAAGATCCTACCAAATCGGCTGGATTAGGTAGATCTGTACAGTTTTTACGTCACTAAAGATAAAGATCACTGGCAGCAGACGACAAATTCTTGTTCTGTAGAGTTCCTTGGCTTCTTTCTACAACTTTGTCTTGCTTCTTTAGTGGCACATAGCTGAACCGTATGATGTCAGTCATTCATTTACTATTTTCACCAGCCGTGTCAGCAGCATCACACCAAAGAAAACAGTAGCAGCAGCTAGTTTTAGCACTCCCAGCACTTCCATAATCTTTCTGCAGGAATAATCGTGCAATTAGGGCTTTGTCAAATCGGTTTACCGGTAATTTCTCCCCAATTCCCTTTTTTAATTTTTGAATGGTGTGAGTCTTCCTTTTTAAAGCTAAATGTTTCGAAGACAAAGGAGATGGTCATTGATTTCAGAAAAAAATCTTCAATTGCAGCTCCCGTGGTCATTAACGGTGAAGCTGTGGAGATGGTGCAACAATATAAATACCTAGGAACTGTTCTTGATGATGAACTGACCTTTAACCTCCATGTGAACTCACTTTGTAAAAAGGCCCACCAAAGGATGTATTTTTTTTCTAAAGCTTTGTGGTTTTAATGTTGATTCAACTTTTATGAGAATGTTTTATTGAGTCTATTTTAACCTTTACCTTCATCTGTTGGTTTGGACTTTTGACATGTAAGAACAGGAGCAAACTCTCGGGGATTGTCAGGATGTGCAGCAAAACTGCTGGCATAGACCTACGAAACCTCACTGACCTACACAAGGTGAGGTCAGTGAATAAGACCAGGCAGATTCTGGCAGATCCTGATCATCCACTCCATGGTGAGTTCAGGTTGCTTCCATCTGGACGCAGGTTTCTGCAGCCCAGATGTAAAACAAACAGATTGAAAAACTCATTCATCCTCGTAGCGATCAGGTTTCTCAATGAACACTAATTTAAACACTGTTACTTTAATGTCTTGTGTATATATGTATGCGTATGTATATGTGTATGTGTGTGTATGTGCATGTGTGTGTATATGTACACATCTACTGACTGTGAAACTAATTGCCCCTCGGGGATAAAAAAGATAAAAGATACTTGAACTAATTTTTTTAATTTTTCAGAATTCCATGCTTTACGATGCAAGTACCTCTCATCACCTCATCATCATCATCATCATTGTCTTGTTGTATCATGGATGTTAAAAAACACATGATCTGCATTCTGCATTTATTTTATACAAAATACGTTCGATGTTTTTGAAAATAAAGATTCTCGGGAGTATTTTATGCGAGAGTAAAGAAACAGTTTTAGTAAAATAAAAGTGCTTCACATACGTATAAAAATCATACCAAATTGCATTGTAAGTATTTTTAACAGTGGAATAATTTTTCAAGTAATCAGCTAAAAAGTTTTTAACAAACTCGTCTCTTACAGTTTCACGAGGACATGTTAGCTGAAGCTAATGTTCGTTAGCCTCTCTCTTTTCATTCAGCTGATTGTTCGTTCTCTCAGTTTCAATCAATTGTGTGTCGACAAAACTTACTAATAAAAAAACAAGATTATGTTTTTGGGGGGGCTGTTTTTGCTTTAAACTGTCCATCCATCCATTTTCTTTCCCCACATTTCTCTTCTGGGACACAGGGTGCTGTACCCATGTCTAGCAGTCATTGCGCAAGAAGCTGGGATCACCCTGTGCCAAGTCCATCTCAGGGACACAGAGACAAACGAGACCAACACCATTCAGTTAAATAGCTGGAAGAAGTATCATTATGTTGAACACATTGCCTTCGATCTGAAAGGTAATTAGAAAACCAGCCGATAGTATGGTCTGAGATACCAATGTCTGACTTCTTAAGTCATAAGCTCTATAATGGTGTACCACAAGGCTCAGTCTTAAGTCCCACCCTCTTCAAAAAATACTGCAGGTCGGATCATTCCTTACACAGCCTTACATTTCTATGCAGACGACAGTGTTTATTGTCGAGCTAAAACAGTTGTTAAGGTTTTCCAGCTTTTACAGTCTATTCAACATCATCCAGCCAGATTTGTTCTGTCTCAAACTGGTGCTAAATGCCGATAAAACCAAAGAGATGTTGTTTTCAAACAGGAAGTCGGTACCAGCAGTCCTTCCTTCTGTCTTGTCTACAAATGGTGTTCCTATTGAGTTTGTTGATTCTTACAAATACTTGGGAATTTTGGTCAATGCACATCTCTCTTTTAAGCCTCATGTTGAAAACTTGGTAAAGAATTGAAAGTAAAGTCGGGTTTCTTTTCAGAAATAGATCTCGTGCTAGCTGTTAGCTCGCATGTCAGGTCAGAATTAAAAGTCTATTCCTCCAAACTAAAGGTTCCTCAAAGAGCCATGTCATCGCTTCAAAAGGTCTGAACTGTTGTTTTAAAGTGTATTTATCTGAGCAGCGAGCGTTAGTCGCTGGTGTGTAAACAGTTAACCGTTTCAACAGGAGTGTGTATTGACGGTCACACTCTTTGTGCTGTTTGAGACAAAGATGTGCTCATCTTTCCTCTTCCTTCAGGCGCGCTCGACGTGAATACAGCAAATGTGCTTCCAACTAATATTTCATCATTACATCACTTAGACTAAACAAATCTCACTTTACTCTTTCACACACACACAGAGGGTCCCAGTCTAGATTAGAAACACGATGCAAACAAAGTGAAATCTGAGCGTTTGGGTTGAACTCCGTGCTGCAGATTCTCCTCAGCACGTGTTCGTTCGATGTGCGACAGCTGAACCAGGCTCGTCATCCTACGAGTCACGCAGAATAAACTGCATTTTCTGAGACGCCGCAGTGAATTAATTTGTCACGTGACTTCGTGCCTTCAGGATTACACACACAGGTCACCATGAAAAAGGAATTACAGCTTGGATTAAATTAAAATTAGAAAGTAATGTCGAATCCTGAAGAGGCCTGGAAGATGAAATCGTTATTCAAACTGTAGATAAATTGCATTTCCTGCGAAAATGCAGTGTGAATGTTTATTGCAGAAGAACAGCTGAAATTAGCTAAAAAAACATGCTGAAATGCAGCTGAAACGGAAGAACAAGCTTAAATTAGCAGGACAGCAGAAAGAACGCGTTTACTTGGGTTTAAACTTACAGAAATGAGCACAGAAATGAGGAAACTAGCTAAATAAAGCTGAAATGAGCAAAAAATAGCTGGAACGTAACTGAAAAGGCATATAGAAGCTTAAACTACCAGAAGGAAGTGGAAAGAGCTGAAATTAGCTAAAAATATATGGAATTAGCTGAAAAAGCTGAATTTAGCATGAAACAGCTAAATATTAGCAGAAATAACGGAAAAATGTTGAAAGGAGCATAACAAGCTGAACTTAGATGAAAGAAGTTAATGAGGCTGAAAGTAACAGAAATTATCAAAACAGCTGAAATTAGCTAAAAATGCAAAAAAAAATAGTTGAAAAGGTAGAACAAGCTTAAATTAGCAGAAGAAAGCAAAAAGAGCAAGTTTGTTGAAAAAAGCAGAAATGAGCACAAAGAAGTGGATATTATCTGAAAAAGCTGATATTAGCTAAAAGATGGCTGAAAAGTAGCTAAAAAAGCAGAAAGAAGCTTAAATTACCAAAAGGAAGTGGAGAAAGCACATTTTTTGTTGAATTAAGCTGAAAAAAGTTTAAATGAGTGCAAAAATGTGGAAATAGCTGAAAAAGCTAAAATGAGCATAAAACGAGCTCAATAGTAGCTGAAATAGCAGAAAAAGCTGAAAATTGCAGACATAAGCTGAAAGGAGCTTAAGCTGAAATTAGCAGGAAGAAATTAAAAAGCACACAAATGTTGTAGTTAGCAGAAAGAAGAACAAAACTGCTGAAATGAGCTGAAAAAAACTTTAAAGTTGCAGAAGGAAGCTGAAAGAAGCTGAACCAGAACAAAATGTGTAAGAAGCAGTAAAAGGTTGTAAACAGATCTAAAGATACGAAGGATGTAAAATGAGCTCAATTCATTTTCTATGAGAAAAAAATGGCAGAAAAGGCTAAATATTTCAAAGAGCTAAAGTCATAGCAGGATTGTCCTGAAAGAGCTGAACCTTTTGATTTATGATTTGTTGAAATAGCACAAAAATTGTGAAAACGAGAAAGATGCTGAAAAACGTACGGAAGAAAAATGGGTCACAGTAGAGTGAATGATTCATAAACATTCAGACAATAAAACTTTTCTGAAGCCTCGACAGAAACGGATCACGAGAACTAAAGTCGGGTGACTGCAATAATTCAAAATGAAACAACTTTATGATAATTTACCGAACAGCTTGACTGACTTGTTGATTCATGCTGGAGCTGAAGATAATTGGATAATCAACTGAAATTTTGTCTCAGCTCGTCTGAACTTTTCATTGCACAGAAAATAACTAACATTTTATTTTCAGCTCACGGTGCTTCGAAGTGTCGGCCGGCCAAGTTATTTGTGAGAATCCTAAAAAGGGGGTCGACCACAAAATTATTATTTTTTTTAATCAGAAAGACAAGAGTCCGACACTTGATTAGTCTCTTAAAATAACGGCTTTTTTGTTTGGCTTATTTCATGGTTCCAAACATTTCATGAAAACAAAAATTCCCAGATTTTCCAGAGTAAATCCTGAAATTCCAGGAGATATTTTCAGTCACATGAAACGCTCAGAGCTGAGCGTGTTAGGCGGTAAGCAGAGGATTTACTGCAGCAGTGAGTGACTTGAATGTTTTGAGTTATTAAAGGTGCTACAAATAAAAATCCTAATAATTAATTACAATATATAATATTGTATCATAAATTAAAAATCCACCAGTCAATAAGGACACAGTAGAACCAGAACATGGACTCAATGATACTAGAATACAGCATTAATTCAAGAACACGTTAAAATCTCAGATCATCTTTTATTCAGCAACAGTCCCTCGCTACTTTGCGGTTCGACTTTCGTGGATTCGCTCTTTCACGGTTTTTCAATGACTGTCAACTTTAACATTACTCACGTGTTTGGGACGGTGCAGGATAAAAAGTTAATGAAATAAAATACTTGGGAGAGGCGTCGCCATTTTGTAGTTTTCTTTCAATAAGCCTATACTGTATCACCAGTCCAAAAGAACTACACTACCCAGAAGCCAACAGTGCTTCCAGCCGCTGCTTTCTGCCGAAACGGAGGGAAAGTTTTGATCTGATCTGACTAAAAAGTTCAGTCGTTATATTGACTTCGGCGCCCAGTGGATGCAGCGAGCCGATCAGAACTGAACCAGAACTACTTCCAGCCTTATTGGTCGATCTGAGCGCTGCCCCATGAGGCCTCTTGAGCGTGGAGGCGTTACTTCGAGGTCCGGTGTTTTCTCCGGAGCTCAACGGGACTTTTTTCATTAGGATCCCTCTGGATTATTTGGACTCGATTGAGACCATTGTGTGGTTTTGTGCTGGCTATCCAAAGGTCTGTCTCTCTCTAAAAGCGTCTTGGTGCTCAAGGGCTGCAGAGAGACCATCAGAACCGGACCAGAACCGGACCAAGGCTGGTTAGTACCCATCTAAAATTTTGCAGTAGCTACTGTACAGTAAATATATGCATGTTGTTAAAATGACGTAGGTTTAACAGTTTAGAACAATGAAAGAGCGTGGGAAGGGTTTATAAAGACTTTAAAAGATATATCAATACTCAAATAAATATAACGTCAATACTTTGCGGTTTTTCACTTATTGCTGGGGGTCTGGAACATAACCCCCACGATAAACGAGGGACTACCGGTACTGTAGATCCGAGTTCAAGTTACCCGAGTATTTTCTGCCTGAAAAATATGAAAATCATTTCCCAGCTTTTTTCAGATTCCCAATCACCGGGAACGCTGTTACGGTTTAAGATGTTTAGCTTTTCTCTTTATTAATTTAATAAACAATAGCAATAAAGATTTATAAAAAATCTACTTAAACCGTTAAAATGGAGTGGTGGTTTAAATAGATTTAAATATTAAACACGACAAAATAAAAGTTAAAGATGATGAAACATGTTAAATAGGTAAACATTTTTAAAGTGAAATAGTTAATAAGAGTCTGGACACGTTGATGATTTTCCCATACTTTGTTTTCTTCTTCCATATTTAGTTAAAGACTGCGTTAGTGTTTTATTAAAAAAAAATAATAATAAAGAAAGTTGAAAAACAAAACTAAAAGATTAGAGCAACTTGATAAAACCTTTTCTAGTTGAAGAAGATTAAACAAGCAAAGAAGTGATCGATCATTTGTAAATTATTAGAAATTTAGCCAATAAAAAAAATAAAAAAACAGGCAAACGAATCAAATCTAAATTTGATGGGGAGTGGTGGTGCAGAGGTTAGAGAAGGTGGGCCGGTGATCGGAAGATCGCCGGTTCAACTCCCGGTACTGACAACATCAAAAACGTGAATGAGATAGGTGAAGCACCCACAGCTGCCCCCACCCTCATTTGCCCCACTCTGGGCCCTTGAGCAAGGCCCTTAACCCCCACCATCTGCTCCTACGGGCTCCCTATAGCAGCTCCCTGCTCCACACAGAGGGCTGTGGTAGCTCGGTGTCTGTGGTTGCATCAGGAAGGACATCCGGCGTAAAAATAAAGACCAGATCTTCATGCGACTTGGTTCGCTGTGGCGACCTGGAACGCAGGGAGCAGCCGAAAGAAGAAAAGAGAAAAATAATCACATCTAAATCCATAAACGTGTTTCTAAAGAGTTATAACGCGACAGCAAATCTGTTTGAACATTTACGATCTTTACGATCCTCCTAAAAGTTTACAGATCATGGTTTCTCTGTTCAGACGTCGGGTTTTGAACACGTAGACGTTCGCCGAGCAAAAACAAACTCATTAACTCTTTGACTTTTACTCGCTCTTGCTCTGAATCCGTCATTTTTCAAAGCAGCAAAACACTGAAATGTCAAAAAACATCCTTTTTTTTTTTTTTTTCCTGCGCGAACTTTGAACCCACATGAATTCCTAACACAAAAGTCTGAACTAACACAGACCGACACGTGATGAAAATGATCCCAGCCATGAAATTAAAACACACGAGGTGCTCGACTTCAAAAGCTAATGTCAATAAGCTGCAGCCGGTAGCTGAGAAAAAGAAAAAGGTGCTCCGGCTCGTCAGACCAGTTTGGATGGGATGTGCTTACTGCAAGTAAAAAAAAAAAAAAAAGAGTTTCACAACTCAGACAGAAAATTAAAAAAAAAGTCTCCAGATCCAGAAAACAGAACAGTTATTACAACAGAGCGATGATTTACTGCAATCCCAAGAAACGTTTAGAGATATTTTCAGATTTAAAAATGACTCTCGGACACGACGGACCACCGTGACACAGCTCTGTGTGTGAGAGCAGGTAGATCTTCCCAGGTGACCCTCTGGTCATTAACACAACACTTGGTGACATATAAACCTCAAACTGGAGGGTGTGTTCGCTCACAGAGCTCAGACCCAGTCGGACATCACACTTCGTGCACTTCAAGCACAAAACGCCACATTTGACAATAAATATAGCTCCTTTTGTTTCTCTCCGCCTTATTGACCCGGTTACTCCAATAGCTTCTCCTTCAGTTGATCTGTGTTCTGGACTCCGTCTGGGTCAGTGGGCCAACAACGCAGTGGCTCACTGCGTTGTTGGCCCACTGACCCCCCCGCAACCAGCTCAAGAACAATACCTGAGTGCTTTAAAAGGAGGACACCCTTTAACACAATTCCTTTAGTGAACATGTGGGTTACAGCATCTGCTCTGGAGGCTGGTGTGTGGATATATAATGGATGGGGGTTGGGGGGGTTTGAGTGCCCCTCTCTGCCTCACAGGAACCAGATAAATATGTGATGAGAGTGGAAGGTGGAAAAATGTGTCAGGAAGGAAAAACACACAACAGCGGGTGGGAATACTGGGAAAATCTGGACAGTCTAATAGAAGGGATTACCAGATATAAATAAATATATGAAGTTTATTGTGGAGGAAATTACAATGTGGGGTGTCAAACAGATTTATTTAAGGGGAGGATAGTTGAAAGCTTTAAAACACTAATTCCAAAAAGGTTTATGGAACACAAAAAGATGAAAATCAAAGATTAAAATAATAATAATAATAGCGTTTTTGGTTGTTTTAGATGGAAAAACGTCGATTTAAAAACGTGTCTGAACATAAAACAAATCCTCAAACAGAAATAAACTGTTTCCACAGAGTACAGCAACGCATCTTACAAGATTTTTCATATTTCAGTAGTTTTTCCCTGAAAGAGAGAGAGAGAACAGGTGTACCCTTCCACCGCGTCACCAAACTGCGCCCGCTAAGCTACAAATTTACTCATTTCGTTCAAATTTATAAATTAAAAGGTAAAAAAAAACTCACCAGCTTTATTAAAGCATGTTTAAGTGTTTCTCTTCTGTTTTTCGGCTCTACTCTTTTAGGTCCAACAACATGTAGTTTCTTGTTAAGTAAAAAAAATAAAGAGCCTTGGGGTGTAAAAGAACCGGTCCGGGACGCCGGATTTAACGACTGTCTGTAAAAGTAAAAAAAAAAAAATGGCCGTTTGAAACAAAGTCCAGTAAAAGAAACTCGGTTCAGTTCATCGTTGTTTCTCCGACAGGCTTGTTGTCTGAGCACCCATCACCCCCTCATCGTTGTCTCGTCTTTGTTCCATACAGCGTTGGTGACGAGGTGAAGCAGGAGGGAGGAGAGCGGCCGCGTCTCCCCCTGAACTCCGCTCCGCCAACATATACGAGATCACAGCTTCCGGTGAGTGGCTTTTCAAAATAAGACGAAACGGAAACGCAACTGGCGAACCGGATATATTTTTCAACTTAAAACCACCGATAAAAATTACACGAAGGCAACGATATGCTTTTCTAAATACTGCTAATATCCCAACTTTTTATTGTAAATGCACAAGATATATGCCTAATTAAGAGAATTTTCCCAGAAATTAGATACAGGGGTCTGCAATCTGCGGCTCTGGAGCCACATGTGGCTCTTTGGTCCCTCTCTTCAGCAGCACATTCAAGCTTTGACCAAAACTGACATAAGTGACATAAAACTAAATTTAATTGATTATGCAAACAACAAAAAAGGTTAGTTCATACAGTTTTCCTGTCGTTTCTTTTGTAAATATGTGAACACTGGAGCGAGTACAAGGAGTACTTGATGCTTTATTTGTTTATGTGAACAACTGTCTGCATAGTTTAAGATATTTTTAATTAAAAAAAATTGGAAAAACTGATTTTTTCCTCCCTTCTTTACAAGAATCTGGTCTTTTACTTTAATAAATGATAAAAATCATTAGATTTTTTTTCTTTTTTTGCTTTATAATGTCACCCCTATTGACAACAAAAGCCCCTTCCAGCAAACCTAAAGTGGCTCACAGGCCCCACCAGTTGATAACCACAGTTGTAATAGGTTGTTACAGCTCTAGACACGTTTAATGACATGAACGAAGGTGTACAAATGGCTCTTGATTGTAAAGGTTGCAGACCCCTGAATTAGAAAATGATAAAGGAGGAAGCAGGTAAAAGATAATGGATGGATGGATGGATGGATGGATGGATGGATGGATGGATGGATG